TATTAACCTTTTTGATTTTTCATAGTCAATCAATTTTTTTTTGTATATAATTTTTTTTCAATTTAAAAAAATAATTTTTACGTAGGATCATTATCTATTAAAATATATAATATGCATTTAAAATTATTAGAGTTAGAAAACTATTTTTTAAACTTTTCCAATTTTATTTTATTTAGTTTTTTTTTAAGATAGGTTCAAAAAGTGAAAACTATTTTTCAAAAAAAAAAAGAGGAACTTTAGTGATAAATTTAATATTTTTATTTATTAATTTGTGTAATTTGAACCTTAAAATATCGATTTTTGGGCAAATGTTGTCCAAATTCCTTTTTTTTTTCATTATTTTTAACGATAAACTCGGTTGATAGTTAAACGGAATACTTAAATAATGTTGTTTAACCATTCCGTTGTTAATTTAACGGAAAAGGAAAAAAAATTGTTCTTATTTTTTCAATGTAATTATAACTTAATTCTTTCTATTTAAAATTTCTACATATTAACCCTTTTGATTTTTCATAGTCAATCAAATTTTTATTTGTATATAATTTTTTTTCAATTTAAAAGAATAATTTTTATGTAGGATCATTATCTATTAAAACAATCAACTTCTATAATTAATAAAATACAAATATCTATTGATTAAATTTGATAAATTGAATTATCAAATAATTAATTTTAATTGAAACTTTTCTTTTGTCATGCCAATACATTTATTTTTATGATTGTCAATCATTAAATTTTAAATATAGTTGTATTTATTTAATATTTTATCTTCACATGTTTTATAGAATTTTATATTCTCACAATTGATTCAAATATATAATATGCATTTAAAATTATTAAGGTTAGAAAACTATTTTTTAAACTTTTATAATTTTATTTTATTTAGTTTTTTTAAAGATAGGTTCAATAAGTGAAAGCTATTTTTCAAAAAGGAAAAAAGAAGAAGAAACTTTAGTGCTAAATTTAATATTTTTATTTATGTAGAGGTAAATAGGTGAAAAAAATAATCTCTCTTGAAAAATAAAAGAAAAACATTAGTAAAAAATCAAGTGATTTTTTACCTAAGTAATTTTTAACTTTTTTTAAAAAATTAACAGTAAAAAAAAAATTAATAACAAAATATTTAAATGAAAATGTTTAAATATTTAATTTAACAGATAATTAGCTTGACTGTTACAAATAATGAATCGAAATTTAAATGATATTTATTAAAAAATTAATATTTTAGAATTTAAATGACATAAATTAATAATAAAAATTTAGGATCGTTAAATTGCAACAGAACGGCGTAAGCCATTAAACTTTCTAAAAAAGCAGTAGGCAATAAGGGCATCGCAATTCACAGCAAAGTGACAAACCGGAAATCCAACACTAACACCACCAAAATGAAATTTCCCCTTTTAGCCATGTGGTCGCTTAGTTAGAATGAAAAATGAGCAAATCAATTAACTTTTTCGTAACCCCAATGAGACGACGACAGACAATTCACAAGTTCAGAGAGAGACCCCATATGTACACGTGTCAAAGAGATGCTAAAATTTTATCCCATCCCCAACAGCGACACGTAGCGAAGGAAAAGCCTTTTTGGGCACTACACGTTGGAAAAGCTGGTTAGCTGTTGCCAGAAAGAACCGGTGCTGCTGACGTGGGACGTCGCTGTCGTAGGAGCTAAACATAGCCCATGTAGTGATGGCCTAATCAGCACCTTGGTGAGTGACAGAGCCTTGATTAAAGTGCCCTTCACACATTTGCCACTACTTTGTCTTCAAATTACGATCTCTTGCCACTGCTGCCTCTAACTACTTTATTCGGAACCCATCCATTTCAATGACAACATTGCCCTTTAAGTTTCTAACCTTTTTTTTTTTTTTTTTTACGCATGCATAAATATACCTAAGTCTCACTTGTCAAAAGGTTATTTGCTTCTTTTAGCTGTTGCTTCCTATAACCTAAACAAATTACAAAAGCTAAAAGAAGATGCTTACCCAATCACCCATATAGGTTAGACGGGTTGGTTGCACCCACAATTTTTTGTACTCTCGTTTGTTGGATCTTGCTTGTTTTAACTTACATAGACTAGAGGTTAGGTGTCATTCACTCAGAAGAAAAAGCAACATTACCATTTTTATATTTTGATTTAAAGGTTAATTGGAACCTAGACTCTTTAACTTTTCTTTGATCGTTTTTTCACAGTGTGAACTAAATTTTCATCCATCTTAAATTATTGGAGACAAGGTCATGCCAATGTTTTCACTGACTAAATAAGTTTATTTGCTTAGAATACATATATCCATCAAATTTAGAGTGAGTTAATTATCATATGAATCCATTGCTATTATGCGTGGGAATTTAAAAATTAAAAATTTGTTTGAGTTGTTTATCATGTTGGATTTTCATTACCGTTTGAGGATAAGGTTCAAAGAGCCTTCGAACTTTAAAAGCTACAAATGCAGATTATATGCGTTTTTTCCTTCAAAATTTGCAATTTATGTGTAATAATTATGAATAAAAATTATGTAATTTTTTGTTATATATATATATATTAAATAAAGTGTACGTAAATACCGTCAACTTCTTAGCCAATCAGATACTCAAACAAGTTGGAATGCTTGACAAGCAAATGAGATCAATTTTCAAGAATCGAAATTAAGGTCATCTCTTGTTACTATCATTCCACAACGATACTGAAAAAGAGCAACCTAACAAGCATCCATTATGTTTTTGTCATGTAATGGGATGCTATATATGTTTGGAAACAAAGTTGTGGGTTTGGGAGAATAGAATTCCACATCTATGAGTAAAGTCTCTAACCAAACAGTGGCCATCAGATTCCAGAACAGAATAGACATAATAACACCTTGAGAGGTTCCGATCTTTAATTACCTACTCTTTTTCTTTTGACTCCGCCATGTCCTTCCATGGCAATTTTAAAGAAGTACGGGGCATCTAATGATATATTCCAACCAAAAGATTGATTTTTTATTGTTTCTACAATTTTGGTGCCATGCAGGGGCGCTTCTGTCAACATAAAAAAAATAAAGTACAAGCCTAACAACGCCAACCAACCCAAAGAGTTAACAAGTTAAAAGTAATTTTATTCTTACGTGTTTTACAGAGTTCAGGGGTGGTGATATAAAACTAAATAAAATAATTATTCTACCTATTTTTATATTCTAAAATAAATAAATTATTTCTCTATATTTTAAACAAAATTTCAATCAGTCTATGCAGTCAATTTTCTAGTTAAATTATGGAAAAAAAATTTCATAACTTTCTTGCATAGAATTAGCTTTTTTTTTTTTTTTTAAACATATGCAATCACATGGCTTTTTTAAAAAGTATTTTTGTTTTAAAAAATTAATTACATAAAAAGTGGTATGACTTTTTTTGATAATTTGATGAGAAAAAATTACACGATATGTTTTTTATGATTTGATCGAAAAAATTCATAAAAAAATAAATTGTAAAATTTATTTAAGATATAAATACATAATTAGTTTATTTTAAGTATAGTTATCAATTATATAAAAATAGATGAAGTTATGTTTTCTAAAATTTACTTATGAAAAATATATTATTAGAATGATGAGATTTACAAACAAAATCCACTCATGTTATACAGGATGCATCCATTCAATTATTAATATTTTTCAATAAATAATTTTTTTTTAACATAACTATATAAAAATAGCATGATTCTAATAAGTTACCGTGTACAAGTTGTTCACTCCAGGGGAGGGCCCTGTACTTGTGAATGGATAGCGACGTGAAACTCAAAGGGGAAGAAAGGTGGTGAAAAATCAGTAATTTCTGCAATCATTTAAAAAAAAATTAAAAAAAAAAAGCAGCGATTTCTGATCAAGTAGGCTACACCTTTTTTATGCCTTTAATTTGTTTTATATACCCCTTTGTATAACATAAATATAATAAAATATTGCGAGTCATTAAATGAAAATGAATACCTTATTATTGTTTTTGTGAAATTATTTTTATGGTATGGATAGAGATGATGGGGCTAGCATGCTAGCAGACATTTTCTATAACCTTATTCTCTCCTCATCTTTATTTCATAGATTCTTCGTTTGTTAGTGTGTCCATGAATAACTCACTCTTATTACCTTCCTTCTCTTCTAGCACTGCTAGAACCAAGACTTGCTATACTTCAGTTGTCTTTACCACTACTTGTTGTGCAATTACTTGGGTGCTTAAACTTGGTGATAACACTTGAGAGTTGTTGAGAGTCAAACCTTAAACAGTGCTTCCTGATTTCCTTCTTCGTGTTTTTTTGAGTTGAGAAATTTGTAAGGACCTTCTTGTCAAACTCGATTTTCTTGCTACAATCTTTGTTCGGTGTTGGAGTTTGTGATTTAGATTATAATATAAGCTGAATTTCGAATCTTTGTTTGGTCTGGTCCATTTCTTGTTCTGGGTTTTTTTGGTTGGTGGTTAACAGGATAAAAACCGTTTAAGCTCTGTTTTGGATTAGAAACCCAAGAATCTCGAGGATTCTTTAATTCTTTCTTGTGGGTGGATATTTGAATTTCTTATCTTGTTCAATATTGGGTCCTCTTCTAGCATTCGAAATCTGAACTTTTGTAGCTGTTTTGGTGGATAAGATAGCATCTTTTCCTGAAACACATATCTCCTTTCTGAATTTCACTTTTTTGTATTTGAATTTGGAGTTCGGTGAAGTTTGCTAACTATTCTTCATTTAACCGTGCCTCTTCTTGTTCTCTCAAGTTTGGATTTCTTTTGATGTTGGGTTCTACTAGACAGTCTCTGTAGATTTGATAGTGGCTCCCTTTCTTTCTCTCTCCTTTTTATTATTTTCTACACTAGGATTAGGCAGTAAGTAAGACCCACTTAAACCTTTGGCACTGTTTCTAGATATCTCGTGTTGGTTACTGTTTTGGATGAGTTTGCTTCATGTATTTGGGTTTGGTTTAAAGGTGGGGCATCTACTTTGGATGCTATGTTGCTGGATTGTATCTGTAATTTCCATGAACTGGTTCATTAATGGTGAAATTTTGGAGACCAAGGCTGGTTTGCTTGGTGATGGTGGCAAGATGTGGCTCAAATGCTTGGAGAAAGTTTCAGGGAATAGTTGCAAGATCCATCATCACTACTACCAGTATATTGGTTCCAAGAGAATTAGAAAAACATGGTGGAGAAAGCTTTTGGTCGCATGGATAGTTGGTTGGATCGCTGTCTCTTTATGGATCTTTTGGTACATGAGCTCACAAGCTTTTGAGAAGAGGAAAGAAACCCTTGCAAGTATGTGTGATGAGAGGGCTAGGATGCTACAGGATCAGTTTAATGTGAGCATGAACCACGTGCAGGCCATGTCCATTTTGATCTCAACTTTTCACCATGGCAAAAACCCTTCTGCTATTGACCAGGTTAACTAGATCTCCTTTAACACTTGGTATTTCTGAGTACTAAATCCGGTAGAGATTGATAATTGTCCTAGAAGTGCTTTATTGCCTTCACTTCTTCTTTTGCTCAAGAATGTCAAATTATTTACGAACTAGAGTTGAGTTGATCCATTTGCTCACTCAATTTGATTAATCTAGGTTCTTAATTTCGGTGCACAGTTTTGTTATTCTAAGCTTTTTCAATGGTTGGAGATTGGTTCGTGGTGCTAATTAAGTGAATTTATTTGAGGTTTTTATTTCTTACTGTTAATGACTTAGTCCAGAACTAGATCTGGGTTCTTCTTGTCTATCATTGGTATTATCCTGTCAAAACATAATCTGACTTTCTAAATTGCAGAGGACTTTTGCAAAGTATACGGAAAGAACCGCTTTTGAGAGGCCCCTCACAAGTGGTGTGGCATATGCTGTAAGGGTACTCCACTCTGAACGGGAACAATTCGAGAAGCAACAAGGCTGGACAATTAAGAGGATGGATAGCTTTGAACAAAATCCAGTGCATAAGGATGACAATGCCCCTGAAGCATTGGAGCCATCCCCAATTCAGGAAGAATATGCTCCTGTCATCTTTGCACAGGATACCGTTGCACATGTGGTTTCCCTAGATATGCTGTCAGGAACAGTAAGCCCTTTTATTCATGTTAAATTTCAGAAATGTTTCTTGCCGTTCAATTCCTTGGCTAATCATGGATTTCACTAAAATTATGCTAATGTTTGCTAATGGGACACAATAAAATACCAACAATAAAAAACCTGGTGATAACTTGACAATCATGTTTTCCCTGTGGTCTCATGATTTTGGTTAAGCTATTCTTTCAATTCCACAACAGCTGCATCTCCGATTTAATGAACTTATTTGTGACTTTTTGTTTACATCCTTGTTAGGAAGATCGTGAAAATGTATTACTTGCTAGAGCATCAGGAAAGGGGGTTCTAACTGCTCCTTTCAGGTTACTCAAAACTAACCGTCTCGGAGTTATTTTGACTTTTGCTGTCTACAAGACAGAGTTTCCTTCTAATGCAACTCCCAATGAGAGGATTCAAGCAACTGACGGGTATGATTTTAGTCATCAACTGTAAATTTGATAGGAAACGTTTCTTAATTCATATGGTGTCCCTCCTTTGATGTTTGATCCAATAAACAGTACAGAATTAGCGTGGGAATTGATCCCAAAACTGATTGAAATCCAGAAGCAAGGGTGATGCTCAAAAATCTTAAACTGTTTTCCTACTTTGAGTCAGTTGTGTGGAAAGAAAATCTAATGTTTGCAAATTATATGGCGTCAGGATGTCCTCCAAGTGATGCTCCAATAATAGGCTTGAAAATATAGAGTTGTCTCTGTGATGACAGATATAATTAATAAGCAGCTCGTCTGATATTCCCAACTCCAAGCAGGTACCTTGGAGGAATCTTTGACATTGAATCACTTGTGGAGAAGCTACTTCAACAGCTTGCAAGCAAACAGACTATCCTAGTGAATGTGTATGATACCACCAATCTGTCTCACCCTATCAGCATGTATGGTTCAAATGTATCAGATGATGGGCTGGAACATGTCAGCCCCCTTAATTTTGGAGATCCTTTCAGAAAGCATGAGATGCACTGCAGGTAATCAATAAACATCTCTTTTATTGAATGAATGGGATTCAACTTGCGTCTGAAATAGGCCTCTCTACGATTCACCATTCACTACCATACCACAAGATACTGTAAAAAGTTCTTTTAATTCAATAAAAAGATAGCATTGTAGTATATTGATATGGTGAAATGGTTGGTCCAAATTTCCATGTAGCAATGTGCTTGTGCACTATTATTTGAAAGAAATGGAGAACCTTCCATCTGGGAGGGAGCTAAATCAATGCTGTAATTCTTTTTAAGTGTATATTAGTTGAAACAGTTGCATTAACTAGTTTTGTCTCTCTCAATGCAGATTCAAACAAAAACCACCATGGCCTTGGTTAGCGATAACAACATCAATTGGCATCCTTGTGATCGCATTGCTTATTGGGCACATATTCCATGCGACTATAAATCGAATTGCTAAAGTTGAAGACGATTACCATTGGATGATGGAGCTTAAAAAACGAGCCGAGGCAGCTGATGTTGCAAAATCTCAGGTATTTGGTATTTCTATTCTGCTCCTCCTTTCTTTAGGTTTTACTCATTATGGCAATCAGTGCTAAATAAATTTCAACTTTCTGTAGTTTCTTGCTACAGTTTCCCATGAGATCAGAACCCCAATGAATGGTGTTCTAGGTGAGTTTTGAAATTGTCCATTATTTGTCCAATGTAGGGAACAGTGCAAAATTCATGCAGCCATGACAGTACCTCTTCTCCTGTTTCAGGAATGCTGCATATGCTTATGGACACAGATCTAGATGCGACTCAGCAAGACTACGTTAGAACTGCACAAGACAGTGGAAAAGCTCTAGTCTCACTTATTAATGAGGTGTTGGATCAAGCAAAGATTGAATCTGGTAAGATTGAGCTCGAGGCAGTGCAGTTTGATCTGCGGGCAATCATGGATGATGTATTGGCACTCTTTTCTGGCAAGGCTCATGAGAAGGGAGTTGAGGTAATACATGTTTCTGCAAATGTGTTACTTGGTTTCCTTTGAGCCCTACTTCTTGTCTCTGATTTTTCTTTACTTGGTTCTTTTTCAATGTCCAATATCTAAATTTGAACATGATACAAACTGGCGGGAAGAGCAGTTGGCAGTTTATGTGTCTGATGGTGTTCCTGAAATGCTAATTGGTGATCCAGGGAGGTTTCGGCAAATTATTATCAATCTCATGGGAAATTCAATTAAAGTAAGTACTCAGTTATTTCTTCTTTCAACCTCTATGGTAACGATTAAACTTAAATCTGCAAATTGATAAACAGTTATCGAAAAACTCATTTTTTCTGAAAATTTGTGAAGACAGAGATATGGGAGAAAACACAACCTGCCACAGAGTGTTGCCATGCAAAGCAAATTTATTTTGACATTTGATACTGTCTCTCTTTTTCATTAAAATTCCTGGTGTTAAGGCTTGGACTTTGGTCTTCACATTTTTCTAACTTATGATTTTTTGCCTATCAAAGAAAAGAAAAATGGATTTGCAAACTGAGTTCTCTCTCTTTCTTTCAGTTTACAAAGAGAGGGCACATCTTTCTCACTGTTCATCTTGTTGAGGAGGTGATGGACTCAATAGATGTTGAGACAGAATCATCATCATGGAACACCTTGAGTGGTTTGCCTGTTGCAGATAGACGCCGGAGTTGGGCAGGATTTAAGACTTTCAGTCCAGAGATCTCGAGTCATACTCTCTTGCCATCCTCGTCTGACCTTGTCAATCTAATGGTGTCAGTTGAGGATACAGGAGAAGGGATCCCTCTAGAAGCCCAATCTCGTGTTTTTACTCCTTTTATGCAGGTTGATCCATCCATTTCCCGAAAATACGGAGGCACAGGCATTGGCCTAAGCATAAGCAAGTGTTTGGTTGACCTCATGAATGGGGAGATTGGCTTCGTTAGCATACCAGATATTGGGTCCACCTTCACGTTCACTGCTGAATTTAGCAGCAGCTGCTCCAATTCAAATGACTCCAAGAACCAGAAGCAGAGAATAAAAAGTCAATACAACAAAACGCCTTCAGAATTTCAGGGCATGACTGCACTAGTTGTTGACCCCAAGCCTGTTAGGGCCAACGTTTCAAGATATCAGATCCAGCGGCTAGGAGTACATGTTGAATTGGTTTCTGATTTAAATCAGGGTTTGTCTAGCATAAGCAATGAAAATAGAGTTGTCAAGATGGTCTTTGTCGAACAGGAAGTTTGGGATAAGGATTCAATCATGTCAGCTCTCTTTGTCAATAACTTAAAAAAAATTGAGTCTGGAGTTTCTCCAAAACTATTCCTTTTGGGAAATTCTCTCAGTTCTTCCAGAACAAACACTGCGACTTCTGATGTTTATACCCTCAGTGTCATAACCAAGCCCCTCAAGGCAAGTATGCTGGCTGCATCTCTACAACGAGCAATGGGTGAGAATAAGGGGAATCCCCGCAATGGAGAACACCCTAGTTTGTCTCTTCGCAACCTTCTTGATGGAAGAAAAATTCTTATTGTAGATGACAATAAAGTGAACCTCATAGTAGCTGCTGCTGCTTTGAAGAAGTATGGAGCTGAAGTTGTCTCTGCAGATAGTGGAGAAGAGGCGATCAAATTGCTCAAGTCACCTCACCAATTTGATGCCTGCTTCATGGATATCCAAATGCCAGAAATGGATGGGTATGTGACAATTCATACCTTTAAACTTTTAATGTTAGCTTTATGTTTTTATTTTTATTTTTTTTATTTTGGAAACCAACAGCAATAGGAAAACTACTACTCTTGAAATATTTATTTACAGGCTGCCTAGTTTGTGATGGCAGCTGTTTGCCACTGGATGTGTTAATGCCAGATGCACGATCAGTTGTCTATTAATTATATTTGTATTTATATATTCATAGATAGATTTGGTGCAAATTCTGAAAACAATGTCCTTTCCCTCAGGTTTGAAGCTACAAGGAGAATTCGGGATATGGAGTCAAATGGGCATATACCAATACTGGCAATGACTGCAGATGTGATCCAGGCTACATACGAGGAATGCAAAAGATGTGGAATGGATGGATATGTTTCCAAGCCATTTGAAGCTGAACAGCTCTATCAGGAAGTTTCGCGTTTTTTACAGCCGACTTCCAATGCGAATTTATAGAGAGAACTTGTATTGAAGGTTACTCATGACATGAGCTCAAGCACCTGTTCTCCAGCGCTTGAATGGGTTGGGAGTTTTCCCGAGCAGTGAGTGTTCCATTTCCCTAAAATGATTGTTGATTTTTCAATAGTCTTGCAAGCATTAAAAGATTTTTTTTTATAAAATTACTCCTGACACTTTTTGTATATTCAAAACCTGAAGCACACCTTTCTCAATTGCTCCTCAATGTTTCATTTCAAACCCCAAATTACATTTGCTACTTCACAAGGTTGTTGACCTCTTGATCTGCTTGATATTTCTCCAGGAAAACATTTGTTTTGTTGCGGGGAGTGTAAATAGAAGCCATGATTGATTGGTTGGGCTCTACTTTTCATTAGTTGTATTTTACGAGCTGCATGCATAGTGAAGCTGGTTCCCTTTTCCTTGTAAAGTTGATCTCATTTCCAAGCTGTCATTAGGATCGGTGACGGGAGTTTGTGTAGAGACAGAACTTAGAATAGGACGTCGAATTCGATACCACTGTCCAATGGATGGAGAAATCCAGTTACCCGAGTGTATCATAGAAAAATACGGAATTGCATTCTCCTCCCCGTGAAGCAATAAATCGGTGACAAGCCGAAGAGATCTCTCTTTCTTCAAGGGCCACTGATTGTGCCATGGATATAAGATTCTGTTGGAAGAAGGAAAGATAGCTTCTCGGCAACGAAGGACAGGATGCTTCATGTATATTATCTGTTTAATAAAGATGATGTGTACCATACTAGGTTACTTCTTGTTAGATGTTTTTAACAATACTGAAAGGTTGTACTGCCAAGAATTGATGTAACCTAAACAGTGACAGTCTAAAAGATTTGAGTAATCTAAAGATTCTTGTCTGCTCATAATATATATATATATATATTCTTGAAGAACATGAATGAAAGGAAAACTTAAAGCAATAGATGTTTACTATATAAAAATACTTGAAAAATTAATGTTCTTAAAATAGCGTTCGCGCGCATAATTCTGCATCTCAAGTAGGATTAATTTTACATTTTTAACTTTCTAATCATTAGTTATCAATGATGGTTTAACGTTATTATTATCGAAAGTGAGTCCCGAAACGTAAAGACCATCTATTAGTTGTTTCTGAGGACGTATGTCAATCATGTCTCATGACCCTGTTCTTTGCGGGTGAAGTACTTTCTTTATCGGTACTTGAAACTTTTCGTCTCAGTTATCAAAGTGACAGATGCTGTTGTCCTGAAGTTCTATTCCTTCTGCTTTTGACGGAAGATAAGAAATAAGAATCAAGCCATGCATAATAACTGTACAAGGATAATATATTTTTAGAATATATACGTTGCTTCTCTTGTATCTTCTAACTTTAGTCGTTTTGTTTGAAATGTCAATAGTAATAATTCATTTTCTTTAAGAAAAAATAAAAATAAAAATGCTCAACTGTTCTTTTTATTACCCTCGTATTTTTCTGATGGTGCGATCTTTTTCTTTGAAAACCAAATGTTCCTCAATATGGGGCATAAAAGAAGAATAAAAAATAAAATAAATTTTCAATAACTTTGTCAAGAAAAATAAAGTCAGTTGTGGGTTCAGGATATTCTACTAACAACAGGTCTAAAGAGCAAGTGAAAAATGCAGCTAAACGAATGGATCTAGAAACTCCTTGCAGAAACGTAGTTTATAACTCGCAACTTTTGAGAACAACAGAAAGTAGAATTAGGCTGTGGTCGAGAGGTTAAAAACAGAGGTTCCTACCAAATTGAAACCGAAATATCAATTTAGTTTGGTTTTTCATTAAATTCAATTTTTTTTTAAATATTTAAGTCGGTTCCTATCAAAATCTGAATTATATACTTATTTTTAGAATTGCATAAATACGAATTATATATATGTATATTAATTGTTATTTGGATTTTAATAGTTTGGTTTACAATATGTTTGAACAATTAATAGTTGTTTATTATTATATATTTTATATTGGAATTAGTGGATTTATACTTAGATTTTAATATCTTATTATGAAGGATAGTTTTGTATCTAAATTTTATATATATATATATATATATATATATATATCTTCTATACAGAGTTAATTCAAACAATTTAGACGAGAGAAAGATTTCATAATTCATAACACAAATTTTAAGACTATTTATATTTTTTAAAAAAAATTTAAAAAACATTGGACTCGATTTGAGTTCGAGTTATCTATTGTAGGAACGAGAAAATTAATGGAAAGAATGATTTGTCTCATTGAATTAAATGGAAAGAAGGGTATATATACAAAATTAACTAAACTAATCAATGAATAACTAATCTCTAATTAAAGAAACTAGTTAATGATTAATCTATATACTAAGAGAAATACAACTATACATGAAAAAGGAATCAAAACATAATGTAAGAAAGGATCCTTCGCTTCGCGGAACATAGAATAAGAATATCTTCCGATAGCCTCACTCAAATTGCGGCATACATGTTGTGGATGCAAAGCTTGGAAAATAGAGAATGGAAGGCGAGGGCATGAAGGGGTTTGGTCAAGCGGTTAGCAAGTTGGTCTACGGAAGAGACATGCGAAGCTTAAAGATAACAACTTGCAATTTTTCACGAATAACATGGTAATTAATGTCAATATGTTTTGTTTATTCATGAAAAATAGCGTTTTAGTAATGTGTGTGGGTAAAAGATTGTCACAAAAGATGAGAGCCGATTGACGGTGATTTATATTAAAGTCCGTCAATAAGTAGAAAAGCTAATGAATCTCACATGTGGCTACTGCAAGAGCCTTGTATTTAGCTTCGATGAGAAATGAGAAACCGTAGTCCGTTTCTTAGATCTCCGGAAGATTAGGACATAACCAAGAAAGAAACAAAATCCACTCAATGATTTTTTAATTGTAGGACATGTTGTCTAATTAGAATTTGAGAATCCTTATAGTTGAATAGTAGAATCATAAGGGAAAAACAACCTTTGTCTAGAAGCAACCTTAATATACCTTAGAATGTGATGTGCAACATCCAAATGAGATTGAGTAGGATGATTTAGGAATTGAGAGAGCTGCTGCACAATAAAGGATTAATCGGATCTTTCATATCTTGTGGCACCTATTAACCTTCCGTAAGATGTGATGTCTTCAGAAAAGCGACACCATTTGTTGTCAATTGTGTCCTGGGTTGCATAGGTGTCTTTACGGGCTTGTTGGCAAGAAAACTAGTTTCACTGAGCAACTCAAGAGTATTTTTTGTTAGCAAAGATTAATGCCTAATTTTGTTCTAGACAACTTCAGACCAAGAAAAAAATGTAAATCTCCTAAATCTTTGATTTTGAATGTAGTATGTAGGGAGATTTTGAGCTTATCAATGCAAACCATACTATCACTTGCAAAGATCATGTCATCTACATACACTAAGTCCGCAATGAATCCAAAATCAATTGATTTGGTGAAAAAGAAGTGATTTGATTGTGCTTGTTTGAAACCTTGCTGCAATAAAGCTTTTGAGAGTTTGGAGAACCACTACATGCTTGCTTATTTTAGAGACTTAAGAAGTTTGCACACTCGATTGGGTTTAAAATAAAAGAACCCTTGAGGAAGCTTTATATATACCTTTTCATGCAAATCTCCATGGAGGAAAGCAATTTTTCCATCTAGTCGTTGTAAAAACCAATTCTTTATAGTAGCTATAGTAAGGATAGTTTTGATAATCGTCATTTTGGCAATAGAGGAAAAAGTCTCCAAGTAGTCGATTCCATGTTGTTGGGTGTAACTCTTGGCCACAAGTCTAGCTTTATGTCTTTCAATGAAGCCATCCGCTTTATGTTTCACCTTGTACATGCATTTATAGCTAATGAGGCGTTTAGAGGTAGGTAAGTCGGTGATTTCTCAAGTCTTGTTATCCTGTAAAGTAGTTATCTCAACTCTGTATATCATCCCTCTAACAAGAGTATTTGATGGCTTGGTTGTAGATAATGGTTACAAAATGAATGTTAAGGTTAATTGCAAAAGTTTTATGGGTCGGATAGACGTTTTTGTAGGATAGAACAAAATTTAAAGAATAAGGAGAAAAGAAGTTACTTGATGAAAATGTCTCTAAACTCGATGCAAATGATGGATTGGATTGAGATAGTTGAGCTCCAAGGCTACAATTGTAGTCCGTAAGGTAAGAGAGAGTAGTATGAGGTCCGGTAGATCTTTTAAGAGGAGTAGAATAAGAAGAAGACACTCGAATCAAGAGTATGGAATTGTGGAGGTGGAGAAAGAGGAGGAGGAGATGTATCAAGTAGGAAGGAGGGATCGGAGGGAAAAGAAAGAATGGAATCATAAGGAAGAGGATTGTCGGGTAAGGTAGAAGGATAAGTAAGGATGGGATCTCGATAAGAAAATGAAAAAGAATGAAAAGGAAAAGTGGTTTCTTGAAAGACAACATTTTTGGAAACAAAAATATATATGGTTTAGAGATTATAAAGTTTGTATCCTTTAATGCCATAAGGAAAGCCTAAAAAGATGCATTTGGTGGCCCTAGAATCAAATTGAGATCTACCCTAGTCAATTGTAGAGATAAAACAAAGGCAACCAAAGACTTTGAGGCTACTAAGGGAGGGTGGTTTGTGATAGAGAAGATCAAAGAAGGTGTGATTGTTGATGACATAAGAGGGTACTTTGTTAATTAAATGAATAACATGTAGGACACAATCACTCCAAAAAAGAGAGGAAGGTGGGCTTGAAATCTTAAGGCTTGAGTAACATTAAAAATGTGTTGATGTTTCCTTTCCACAACACTTGTTTTGTTATGGGGTGTGAACATAAGAGGTTTAGTGTAGGATGCCATGAATGGCATAGAAGTCGAACATGTCAAACTATTTTCCTTGGTTAGATCCGATGCATTTAATGGAAACAAAAAATTATGTTTGTATGAAAGTATAGAAGTTTTGACGTAATGTTTTGGCTTCGGACTTAGCCTTTATGAGAAAGATCCATATAGCCTTATTAAAGTCATCAATAACGGTCAAGAAATGTCTATGTCCTTGAATGGTACAAACGAGACATGGGGCCTCAAATATCAATATGAATGAGATCAAAGTATGTAGTTGTAACAAAAGTGCTGATAGGAAATGACAATTTCTTTTGTTTTGCAAAGTGACAAATGTCACATATTACATCAAAATTAACAATAATAGAAGGATCTATAGCTTGCAAGAGTTTGATCCTATGAGCATATGCATGGCCTAATTTATAATGCCAAATCTAAGGAGTAACAAAATTACTTTTGAAAGTACTTGTTTACGAAGTAAGAGACACAACGAAGAAAAAGAGCTCGAAAAAGGATGATTAACTAAAGTAATCAACTAATAACTAATCTCTAATTAAAGAAACTAACTAATGATTAATCTATATACTAAGAGAAATACACCTAGACATGAAAAAGGAATCAAAACAAAATGCAGGGAAGGATCTTTTGCTTCGCAAAACATAGAAGAAGAATATCTTCCAATAAATTCGGTTAATTGAAAACTAAACTGAAATGTTGAAAACAAAAACCAAAAATCTAAATGTCGTTCATCCCTAAATGAAAGAGTTATACAAGTTGCAGTATTCCACAGCATATTATGCACAGGCTAGCCATGTCCTTTGGGAAATCCCTATCGATGCTTTCTTTTCTCGCAAACCAGCAAGGCTGCGAAAGAAGCATACTTGCAAAAGCAAGCTCTACACTACGACGAAAGTGGAAAGGCATTTTGAGTTAGCATTAAATTAATAAGTATAATAAGTTCTGTGCGACATTCACTAACGTCGATATGTCCGAGTGGTTAAGGAGACAGACTTGAAATCTGCTGGGCTTCGCCCGCGCAGGTTCGAACCCTGCTGTCGACGGCTTTCTCATTTTTGCAATCCATTATGATGGGCATCATCAGTACTTCCAGCTCCAGGCACCGGAGTAAGTAAATCAACAAACACGCAGAGTGTCGTAAAAAAAGAGAGAATGAAGTGTGGAATTTTCTCTCTCTCTTTTTTTTAATCATCATCGATCTACAGCATCCGCTACATTACCCCAACCTGTGTCGTAAAGGTGTGCACTGGATGGGTGCTTGGGGTTATGAAAATTATTGATGGAGAAAAATGTACAATTTAGATAGAATGCGTCTGAAGATACTGATATGGGTCTATATTATAATTTTTTAGAAAATTTAGAAATTCAATTAAATAAAAAAAGAAAAGAATCATGTATGTATAATTTGAAATCTATAGATTCTGGAAATTTACAAGAAGTGGGTTAAGGCTTATATTGTGGTAATGTTTCTGACTCTGGATCCTCTTTGGACTAACCCTCCTGTAATGTAATGTAATGTAAGATGTAATGTAATGTAAGGCTTTCTTAAGGCCGAATTGGCTCTGGTCGGGCTTCAAAGGCTTCTACAACATTCCCCCAAAATAATAATAATAATAAAGGCGGCGTTAAATGGACGCAGACGGTAAAATAAATAAGCGTCGACAATCTTTAAAATCCAATGCCTTGCGATATTCTTATTTTCCAACTCTCAATGCTAACCGTTGGATGATCAAATAAAATCATCTCATAAAAACGCCGTCCTTTTCTCGTTCTCCCATTTCACTCTCTTTTTCTGTAAAACGAAGGGAAGAACGAAAAGAAAGAGAGCGGAAGAAATAGAAAACCAAAACAAAGAAGAGAAGAGAAGAGTAGAGAAGAATCGGTTGGAATGGATCCAGACGCATTAGCAAAGGCATTTGTTGAGCACTACTACTCCATGTTCGATTCGAACAGAGGTGGATTAGCGAGTCTGTATCAAGACGGTTCGATGCTGACTTTTGAAGGTCAAAAGATCCAGGGATCCCAGAATATTGTCGCCAAACTTACTTCTCTTCCTTTCCAGCAGTGCCAGCATAGCATCACCACCGTTGATTGCCAACCTTCTGGTCCTACTGGTGGCATGCTTGTTTTTGTCTCCGGTAATCTCCAGCTCGCCGGCGAGCAGCACGCTCTCAAGTTCAGCCAGGTATTCCATTTTGTATTAAAGTTGATCTGCGGTTAATCGAGTGATTCTTACGGATTTGATTCTCGATCTGATTGAAATTAATTGTTGCTGTTGGTTTTTTTTTTTTTTTTGGTGATTTCCTTGTTTTTTGGATTTTGTTTTGGAAATGAAGAACGTTTCTGTTTTGTGTTCTTGTTTATTTTAATTATTGTTTGTTTTGCTAGATCTAGGGTTTATTTGTGTCTGTTTTTTCTAGAACTTTCCAATTACACTGTTATTGGATTTCAAAAAATTATCTGCAGCTATTTGAGCTTTATGGCATTTTAAGTGATTCAAATAGCAGAGATATGAAGCATTTCTGGGTACTCATTTTCTTATTTTTTTTGGCCATGCTTGATATATTATTTAGTATGGTTTAGCTTTTCTGTCTTTCTGCAATTTTGTTGGGCTAGGACTTTTCTTAATGTTTATGCAAATTCTTTGGACTTCTCTCTGATTTTCAACTACGTGCCTTTTCCCTTTTCTCCAATTGTTGCTCAAGTTTGTTTTCTATTTACGTTGCTTAGGCACTTATATTTTCTCTTATTTGAAAGTTTGGTTGGTGGGAAAGTTTAACATTGGAGTCAATGCTCCAAAGTTCAAACTGAAACCCAACTCTTTGGTTCTGTTGAGTATGTCTTCATTATGCTTCTTGTGATGAAACCAGTTTGATGAATGTTTGTGTTGTCAGAAACTCACTTGTTGCTAGATAGATCTTGAGGACTTCAAGACAATGTTCTTATGGAGGTTTTGAAAATGGATGTTATTAAGATGGTTTTGAAAAAGGTGTAGGATGCGTTTTGCTAATTTTGTTTGACATCTTCCTGTCAGTGAACTACTAAACAGCAGTCAGGTTTTCACCTGTCTTTTCATTGTTTATGGTTTAAACCGTTTTGGGTAAAAGTTCAGACTTTTAGCTAGCCTAATACATAAGCATACGCTAACAGGTAGAAGGGGAGTTCTCTTGCTAGTGGTCTATCTGATCATATGTACATTGGCATTTATCGATTTGGCCATCTGAGTTCTTCATGCAGATTTTTTGGAAGTCTAGCGATCTGTCAGCCATAACGATGTGGCACTGAGTTAGTTTTTGTTCTTTTTAATTTTTTTTAATTTTCTTTTTCTAGCATCGTATGTTCTTTGTGATCTTTGATTCATTTGAAGTTTAGTTTTCTGGTGTATAATCTAGTATTCACTCATTTCTTCATCTGCTAGTCTGGGACCAAGAAGTAAATGTTTGCTGTTTATTCTCCTAACTAAAGTTTCCCATCGTGCTTTCTGCTCCCAGATGTTCCATTTGATGCCAACACCACAGGGAAGCTTTTACGTGTACAATGACATATTCAGGTTGAACTATGCTTGAATACAAGAATGGCCACTCCAAATCTTGTTTGGTCATAACGTCCAGGATCAAACCTCTTTCAATCTATCTGTTCAGTTCTAGACAATTTAAAATGAAGACTGAGATTTTTGGTTGGTTATGTTTAATGTTCCATTGCAATGCGCGTTCTTGGTGTTCCCATAGTTCATAGATTGCTATGCCATGGTTGGTTGAATTGGTGAAGATGCTTTGTTGGATTGCTGTTTAAAGAAGTTGGTGTTGGAAATTTCAGAACATTTTACTTAAATTCAATTCTACATTTCATGCGTTCAATGTTTCTGGATTGCTGTTTAAAGAAATTGGTGTTGGAAATTTCAGAACATTTTACTTAAATTGAATTCTACATTTTTGCTATTCAAGTATCCATCCATCAATTACCTGGAGCACAGCTGTGTGCTTGCAATAGCAAGTTTTAGTTATGTGGGTTGTATCTACATTAAATTACCCAAGTAATGCAATGTTTAATTATCATAGTCGTTGGATAGGCACCGTATTCCCCATGCGGGGCAATAATTGACCCGATTGCTTGGTCAAGTATGGAAAAAAGTTGTTATCATGTAAGCATATGTTCCTAAGGTTCGGAGTGCATATTTCAATTTTATAAACTCCATTTTCCTGACCTAGTTGTCAAAGCAAATTCCCTCTGATAACTGAAATTTGCAATTGCAAGCACACTGCTGTGCTCCATTTAACCTGCAGAACTTGCTTATTGTTTTAATGAATAAGTTTGGTGTAGTTTTTCTTCTGTATGGTGATTTAGTTAGATACTAGCCGCCTTAGTTAGGTACTAGTTGCTTGCCTGAGTACCTATTTTTTAAATATTTTTTGATAAATATTTTATTTAAAAAATATAGATCATTCCTCTTTATGATTGATTTTAAAATAAAAAATGATAATAACTTTTAACTAAAATATTAATCAAGAGTTAACAAAACTTTAAAAATATAATTTTTATAATATTATATTTCAAAAAATAAAATTATAATTAATGGATAGGTTTATACAAAAATTAATAAATGAAAACAAATTAATGAAAAAAAGCAAAGGAAAAAATTAAAGGACAAAAGGCTTGTGTAGTGCATCGGTTCGGAGATTAAAATTTTTATTTTAAAATTTTGAAGATTAAAATAAAATAACGTAAAAAAAATTAAATAAAAAAAGAACCTAGATTGATGGAAAAAAGTGAAGGAAAAAAAAACATGCATAGTGAAACAATTTGAAATTAATTTTTTAATGTTTTTTTATAAATTTTTTGTTTAAAAAACATAAATCATTATTCTTTATGGACTGATTTTAAAGTAAAAAAAAATAAAAATTTTAATTAAAATATTAATCAAGAATTAAAAAACTTTTTAAAATATAATTTTCATAATATTGTATTTCAAAAAATAAAGTTATAATCAATGGATATACTTTTACAAAAATTAATAAATGAAAACAAAATAAATTGATGAAAAAAAAAAGCAAAGGAAAAAAAAGACATATACATAGTGCATCAACTCGAGGATTAAAATTTTTATTTTAAAAATTTAGTGATCAAAATAAAACAACCTGAAAATTAAAAAAATTAAATAAAAAAAAACCTAGATCGATGGAAAAAAGCAAAGGAAAAAAAAACATGTATAGTGGAACAACTTAAAAAAAAAAAAAAAACCTTTGCTACAAGAAATATTAATTAAGAATTAAGAAACATTTTTAAAAATATATTTTTCATAATATTGTATTCCAAAAAATAAAGTTATAATTAATAGATAGACTTTTATAAAAATTAAAAAATTAAAAAAAAGAACATAAATTGATAGAAAAAAATAAAGGAAAAAGAAAAAACATGCGTAGTGCATTAGGTAGAGGATTAAAATTTTTATTTTCTAATTTTAGAGACCAAAATGAAACAACTTAAAATTTTTTAAAAAATTAAATAAAAAAGAACCTAAATTGATAGAAAAAGAAAAAAAGAAAAAAGAAAAAGCATGTATAATTAAAAAAATATATATATTGCTATAGAAATGAATTGTGATTTGTCAGGAGATGAACAGTATTTTCACTGTGAAACCTCTCACGACTCACCTGTTTTAGTTTATAGTAAAAGTAAATAAATAGCTCTGTCTGCGGCCCGTTCAGCATCCCAAAAGAGCTCGGGCTCTGCGCCTTCTTGACAAGAATAAAGAAATCTTGCGTAGTCAAGGAAATAGAGTTGGATTGTTACTTCTGGGTATCGAACATATAAAGCAATCCCAGCTGAACTGGATAGCTTCAGTTCTCCCAAGTCAATGCCACCTAGAAGACTTTTTCATTGCTCAACAATCGTTCAAGTCATTTTCCATTCCATAAACGGCCTACACGTCTCATCCATGAAGGTTATATTAATCGCACATACAGGACTTTTTTGGAACATGAATTTTCGAAGGAACTGGCTGCTGTGCTATTGAGGTTGGTTATATGCACTTTTCTTTTAACTGTTTCTTTACGAAAAAGGTTGGATTAAAACATTCAAAACTTCATCATTTAATGATTTCGTTTTTCAGATACTCTCAAATGGCAATTTAATGGCGGTACAGCGTCTCACTCAAAAAGAAGCAGGCCTTGTTTACATCTCAAACGCAATAAGAAAGTCATATTTTACATTTTGTTTTCCAAAATTTCAAACTATAAAAGCAATGGAACAAAGTTTCTCTCTCCTTATACCTCGATGCGGCGAAGACAAAATATGTTGCATTCGGTTTTTAGAAAATCTGAACAAACAATTACAATAATGCATCAGATAGGCAGAGTTCCTTTCTTTCGCTTCAGTGACGAATCACTATAGATCATACCAGGAAAGAGCATGATAGATTACCCTTCCTGGATCTGATTTCAAAAGCATTCGAAATGTCATGAGTTATTTTCACCATTAGAACCTAAATCGATATGAGGAAGCTCTGGCATTTTAAGAGGAGCATTGATGGGAACCACTTCTGACTGCTGTTTTTCTGAATCTTGATCATTGGCCTTGGGACGTTTAAAAATCCCAGTTAACATGCTTCCAAAGGATTTAAATGGGTGGCTCAACCTTTCTTTAACTTGCAAAATGAGGGACACCTCAGACACCTGCCAGGCAACAGTGAGGACAATCATCGCTGAAAGAAGGCAATGAGTAACAAAATTCTGCCTCTTCACTTTTCCAAGCTCTTTCACTATCTCTTCAGCGGCAGCATTTTCACTGCTTCCACCATCCACATGACCATGTTTCTCATGTTTTGACACCACTTCACCAATTGCAGGAGAATTTACCACCTCCTTCTCCCTTCCAGATGATAATTCAGATTGCCCGAATTTGGCATCATCCCCTTTTAGTGATTCCAACTATTAATACGAACAAGACTAGCTACATTAATTAATTCTATTGTAGCCTTCAAACAAAGACAATACGACATATAATATGAATTATACAATAAAAGGTAATCAATCTACCATATCTACATTATTTTCCCTCCTGTGTTCAAATATACCTTACGAAAAAGAAAGTTATTATTTCTTGAAAGTAAAAAACACACATAAGAAAAGGATTTCAATATTCCCTTGGAGTGATGTTTTTACCTCAGAAAGCAATTTGGATAGGAGAAGCTGATCATGATCATCCTGGAGCAGACCACCACCACCAGAGGTTCCTTTGTTTCTTTTCTCTGCTAACAGCTTCTTGATTGCCTGATCAATTAGCTCCAGATTTTTGGCTGATTCTTCCATGGTAAATTAGGTTAGGCTACGAATATGGTGTTGATGAGAGGAGAAATGATGAAACAACTAGGCAGAGACAATGAAATGAATCCAGTCGAACCTTCTTGCCAGCGAGCAAGTTCGTCGTGTTTGAGAGGAAGCCACGTGGGCGCACATAAGATGGATCGTGGGTCAAAAGTAGCAAAAATTTTATAATATACAAGAATTAATTAATTCTTGAGTCTAATTTGAAAGTAGAGATAGACACATAAAAACAGAAAAGAAAATTACATTAAATACTTATCGAAAGTGATAAAAAGATTTTCGCGTCCGATTCAAATTTTTTTATTTTCTCTTTTTTTTTTATGTGTCTATCTCTTTCCTCAAAATGAATACGAAAAATAATTATTATACGTATGCATTAATTACTCGCTTGTGTATTATAAAATTTTAATTGCTCGTTATGTATTATAAAATTTCTCCAAAACTACAACCATCCATTGTGCCGGCACATAAGAGTAACATTTGCGACCGACTAGGGAGGTTAACGGGCAAAATATTGGGCTCATCAATTCGAAAAAAAAAAGTTTATTTATATCCATTAAAAATATTAATTATAAACCTTACCTAACCTATATCCGATTCATATTCAATTTATCTGCACATTTAATAGTACCACTAAAACATTTAATTTTAATCTCGATGTTTTTTTTTTAATTATTTTAACCCTTGGTTAATTTTAAAAGTTTATGCCTTTATATCCTTGAAAGTTAAAAAAAAAAATTCAAAATAAATTAATAAGCATGAGTAGAACACATAGTAAATACCCATTCTCTGAAAATATATTAATAAATGTATATTTTTTTATCCTTACTCATTATTTAACTATTCATTTAATATTTTTAATTAATATTTATTAAGATTAGATAAAGCAAATATCTTTCCTATCTGAACTATTGTTATCCTATCCCCAGAAGCCACGCAGACCTCTCTTTAGTTTCTTTTACTTGCATTTCTACTCTCAAGTGCCCCATGGTATTTGATGCGCATATATATATATATATCAGGGATTCTAACATGGTCAAGCATATATAAGGGGGTTAGAATTGAACACTTTACATACTAAAGGTACATTAGCTTCCAAGAGTGTAGAAACTACATCAACCTCATCAAAGACCATTTACAGCATTTACACAATCAATTTGGGATAGTGAGCTAATCATTCTAATCTCACTACAGACTATTGTGAAAGCAAAGCCATTACACAGCTGAATCCAGAACCCTCCAAGGAAAACTTAAGATCAGTAAACTAGAGTAGCACAATTTCAATCTTAAGTGAACATATACGTTAGTACAATTGTACGTCAGAAGTTGCTTCTACTGTACAAGGTACAGATCATCATTTTCCATCTCAGTAGCATCAGCCAGAGAATTAGATGCTGCTGCTTCACTGGTGTCACCAAGTTCAGCCTGCAAGAATGGTTGAAGAACTCAGAAGTTAGGCCAAAAGAAAATAGACAAACATGCATCCCCCACATAAACACTGAAATCGCACGGTGACTATCCTGGTATAATCCTGGGACGATAAAAGGAGGAGCAACTATCTTGTTAGGAGGAGCAACCGTCTTGGGATAAAATGGCAGGAACTCACAATTAATCCACTCCCCTTCAAACCTAGCTTTCTATTTTCACCTGTGTAATTAGTCTAACAATAATATTTTCAAACACCATGATATTTTAACAATAACATTCACCCTATTTCAACAACATGCATGAAAAACAACATTTACACAATTGTTTCTTCTTGTTAATTCAATCAAATTGCTTGTTCAAAAAAACAAATCCATTTAATTGCGCAATCAACTGATGCTCAGAGCTAAAAGGCTTGAAAAAAACACATTAACCAGTTGCATCAGAAAGCCTGAACATTCAAATTCCATGTCAATACAAAGTTTTCTGATTACCTTAGCTTGGCGGTATTTTTCCAGCATCCGATGATATTGCTGACGTGCATCTGGAGAATCGACCATCGATAGCACACGAGAGACAGCTTCATCAATAGCTCCATCCACTTTCTGTTTGCGGAACATCTTGAGAATATCTTCATCTTCACTTTCATCAGTGGACTCCTCATTTCGGAAACCTCGCAAACCAATTCCTTTGCGTCGCCACCGTAGCACTACCTTATCTAGAATTCCAACAGCCCAACATATTACCTTATAGTTCTTCCTAACCTGATAGCCTCTCACATGAGCCTGCCAAAATACCAAAAAGGTGCTTAATCCAGGATACTCTACCCCTCAAAGTGAACGTATGTTATATACTCAATGGTTCATTTATTATGCTATTTCATACATGAATACATGAGCTGTCCAAATGCTGAAATACTGAGGCACAAAACCAATCATGATTTTAATGTCTTGTTATTTCGAAAAATACAGATGAAATTAGATCAACAGTGAAAAGATGTAGCACCTGTATCTTCACAACTTTCCGTCTAAGTGCTAGAAAATCCTTGCGACCTTTCCATCCTCGATATTTCTTCTGAATGGATAATGCAGCTGAATTAATATCGTGGGTACGAAAGGCCAGCTTTGACATAGTCGAAAGCCCTTGAATGTCACCTGCAGTCATACCATACTCATCTATACTAATAGCTTCTCTGTGTTGTCGATTTCTGAAAGAATGTGCACGGAACGCAGATTGTATTCGTGCGGCTGCGTGAGCTGCATTCCGGACTGCAGCCAAGGTATCTTTAAGTGAAACCTGATCTTCATTGGCAGCAAAGCTCTCCTTTGAGACACTATCTACAGTTCTCTCAGCTTCAACCTCAGCAGAGCCTTTAGAAAGCTCACTTTCCTCTAGTCTGAGAGATGAAAGATGGCTAGTTAGTGCCACCTCTGAAAGATAACCTGCAAGTCCCTTGTGCCCACTGGTGGCTGCAATGAATGCCGGGGTTTTGCCAACTGGATCTTGTGAACTAGGATCAGTCACAGCCCCAGCTGATGCACCGGAAGCTAAAAGAGCAGCAACCATTTTTTCCCTGTTACAGAAAATAACAACCACCATTCAAAAACTAGTAGGCGATATATAACCAATTTGTTATGAGATTTCATCCATTCTATGTCATAACTCAACAACATTCATAATCATTTTCTGTTTCATTTGGAAAATTGGCAAGTTAGAAGATAATTCTGCCATTCCAGATCTCTCTTACTCTCTCTCAGAACTAGTCAACTCTATCTTTCATAAGCTACAATATATGTACTGAAAGTTACAGGTCTATAACCAGATGGCCTTTCCTTGTGTTTGAATATATCCACGGATATTCTTCCATTGTGCTAAAAGTTGTAAGCCTCTTCATATTTTCAAAGATCAGCAATTTCTACAGCCAAAATCAGTATATAAAAATCTATGCAAACACCCAAGGTTTTTAATTTACCTTCCAAAGCGAGCAGCCCAGTGGAGAGCAGTCCACCCATTAATGTCACGGAAATTGATACCGACTCCATGACTGAGAATTGGGCTTATGGCCCACTCAAAGCCTAACCCAGCAACCATGTGTATTATCCCTTGCTCTTTCTTGGACAATGTGGATCCAGGTTGGTCGTGTCCTTCCTGAGACTTGGATGCAAGCCACTGCTGCAGCTTGTCTTTCAGAAGTTGTTGTAGAAGCCAATCAACTGTCGTGGACGAATTTCCACTGCCAAATAAAAGAGCCTCTATGATATAACCCCATGAATCATCATCAGCCTTCAATTTTCCCAGTTGATTAATTCCTGTTTCTATGCTGTCTCCTCTCTCTAAAGAGAAATCAGACAGAAGCATCTGCGCAAATCTGACAAGTAACAATAGCTCTTCTGGACTCTTAGTAGCTTCTGTCTGGGATAAGCTACAGCGAGCACAACTACTATCCTTAGCTCGGTACTCAAAGTCTCTGATCTCACTGCAGGACTCCCGATTGCCAGAAGTAATGCAGATAGTGACCTTTCCAGGCCCGTGAGGAGGAGCCTCACAACGAATAACGCCTTCTTGAATGATTTCAAGAGGAACCTCAGTGTCACCAAACATGCACGTCCAAGAAGATTTTGATGGGTCACAGAGAAAAGATCCAACAATGATGACCTGCATTAAGAATCAAGGCTTGAAAATATTGGACAAGAATTTATTATTTGAGAACTAAAAAGAAGAACTCCTCAAAACAATGCATAAGCGAATTAGTTTAAGAATATTCTTGAGGTACAACAGATGCAAACGGGAAATATTTCAAAAATATTCTCGAGGAACGAGTCGTATTGAACTTGTTATAATATCAAAGTGACAGAAGTCCAGTAGTGACCAGGAAGGTTAATGAGATCCTCGTTGTCTGAGTTAGCAAGCAAACTGATTTTATAATTGCCTTGCAACAGGATCATGTAATGCATCCTATACTCAAGTACCTCAGTGTAATGCACTGATTTTATAGTTGTCTTGCAACAAGATCATGTAATGCATACTATATTCAAGCACCTAAGTCTCCTGGGATATATAGCCATGCTTTTCTAATTTCTTAAAAACTGTTCAATGAATTCGGTAACCAATTTAGCTGCATCATAAAACTAGGGATAAAGCTACAAGGAAACTTTTTTCCTCCATTTTGTTCAATCCCGGTCAAGAATGAGTTTAGTTGCAAATAGGTTGTTAGACAGCATAAAACTAGTCACATCTTACAAGACATGGATGCATCTCGTGAAAACATAAATACAAAAGAAAAGAATAAACATATCAAAAAAAAAAGTAAGGAAAACTGTACTATCAAATTAGAAGTATATCACGCCACACGGGAGGGGCAGCCTGTTTTTAAATGATCCAAATTAATGAGTTTGTACATTCCTCAAAATACTCAACAGTTCCATTCTTGGAATAATAATTGCCATCTTAACGAATGAAAAATGAGAGATATTGTATAAAAGCATAGTAGTTCATAGAATTTGATGACTCGTACCTTTGTAGCCTCAATGGCATAGCCCCATTCTGGGGATATTTCACGGATAGTAAATTTCTGCTGCTGAGCAACTGTCAAACTTGAATCTGCTTCAATTTGTATTCCAAGATGGCCTTGATCATATAGCATCGAGTAGTAGTTGGAATTGTTTTCATGTGTTTCTATAACAGAAGAACATGTAGGAATATCGAAATTTTCAACTTCTTGAGGCAGCAACAAAGAAGCTGGTAATAGGAAAAAAAGTTAAAATTTTCAAGATTGATAAAGAGTTCAGTAGATGCTGAAAATTAAATGTAAATCACTATCAAGGGCATAAGATATCGTACAGTTTCCATCATTGAAATTTATCCAATGAGAGTTTTCTTGCTCTTGAGCTGGTTCCATCCTTAAAGAAGAATTGGGCTTTTCCTGTTGAAAATTACAGTTAGTCCATAAAGAATATAACCATAATATAAGAGGATGTCAAAGATGTAACAGAAAGCTTTGCCCATTTACAGTGTCCATATATTTCACCTGGTACTCAATGCCTGATGAAGCCTTATAGGATTCAAACATTTCATCCCAAGAAAGGGGTTCTTTGCTTGCATCTGTATAATAATTTGAATATGCGCCACCATCACCTAAAAACCATAAGGCCATTAGCAGCTCTTTCTTGCTTCCTTTCCTTTTATAATTTATTTATATATCAATGAAGAAAAGAAGAAATGAAGGCAGATGCATAAACAAAAACTAAGTAAATCTCGCAGTTTCCATTTAAAGCACCAATGCGAATACAAGCATGTCGTCACACTAACGAGGAATGACTGAAGAATCCGCAAGAAGAGTTTTTGGGAGGTGGCGATCTGGTGGCCAAAAAGTTCAAAATTCCAGGTTTTCAAAGAACAAGAGAATAATTGGTGGTCAGACCACAACTAAAATAAAATGATCATATTGGACAAAATCTGGACCATGGAAGATGAATAACCTCTCCATCCATGATCAAAAGATCCTTAGAGGCCCTATACAAGTTAGTCTGATATTTCCATAATAGCAACTTGATGAGATACTGAAACTCAGCGCCTCAATCTCTAAATGACATAGGAAATTATTTACATTTTTCAACCCAAGTCTGATTCTAATAGAACTAGAGCATGTTCTGTACGAAACACCAGTATAGGCCCACTTTCTCTCATTTAAATTGGGCAATATACAGAATCCGAAAAATGTATATTGTATTCACCTTCCAATCACAACTCTCGTTTCACTCTCAACCATTTACAGACCACAATACCAAAACAATTCTGTTGGACTTCATCAGCGAGGGAGTTTTATTTGCCCTTATTTTGTTTGAATATTATGGTGAGTTTTTAAACTCACAAACTGTCTGTCAAATAAAACCTCTTCCAAAATCTCTTTTACGCTTCTCTTTCAGCAGGTAAGATTTGAACCATGGATGAAACACAACCCACCAATTTATTACCACCTGATCTAAGTCATAGAAATTAATAAAACTGAAACCCAGAAAAATAGTAAATGAAACATTGCACTCAAGAATTGGACTGCAAATTTTCTAAGCCAATGACAGTCTGAAAATTAAATAATAAGGTAATGTTATGTCAGATTTAGCCAAAAAAAAAAAAAAGCTGACCAATTCTAAACATGATGTAAGGATACAAATGAAATGAATTAAATAAAATTAATCACAGTCAGACATAATGTGGCATCAATAAACTACCAGAAGTAGAATGTCATGGTTAAATGAGTACAAGAACCAAATAAGGACACAACAAACCTTGATCCTGAAGTGGTGCAAGGTTGTTTCTCTCTAACTGCTTTCCAGCATGTCCACCATAAGATTGATAATCAACAATATACTGTGATCCGTGAAGTAAATTCTTAGATTGATCCTCCTTGGAGATGTTATTTACGTATTCCAGAATTTTTGAATCATTTGTCGCTCCCTCTTCACCAGCTAATGGGGCAATTTCGTTCATGCTGTCCTCATTCAAACTCAACTGCTCCTCCAGCCTTCGCAAAAATTGAGTAACCTCGTTATCAGCAGAACTAGTAAATTCTGCAGTACTATCCACCCCATTGTCCTTGATGCCTAATCCAGAGCTAACTTCTACAGATGCTGGACTACACAAACTCTGAGATGGTTCATATACACCACTAATTACAGGGGTAGATCCTCGCGTTTGACCAGTATTAGCACTAGGACTGTGAGAGAATCCGGGTGACAACTGTGCAGCAGATCCAGGAGAGGGTTTTCCCTGTATATATAAATGTGACTGGTGAAATTATTTGGCAAGTCATAGTAGGCTAAGCAACATTTGACCAAAAACTATTTGATTCTAAACTGAAGGACTGACAAACACCTAAAATGGTAAGGTAGAGAATGATCGGTTGAACTCACACAATGGAAATAGCAAGGTTTACAACTAAGGATGATGGAGAATATATAAATGTTCAAACATGAAAAATCACAGAATTTTTTTGTTTTTACATAGGTCCTAACAGCTCACCTCAGTAATCTCTCTATAATGGACAAGCACGATGTGCTCAAACGCCCTGCCAAGAAAATAATTCGTCAGCTGATATGACCCAAAACTTTATCATCCATTTCTCTTGCTCATAAAAAGTGAGAGTTAGTAAAATAGCCTTGATTATGTGTATCATGTTGAATTAGCTTTTCTATATCTTGCATAAAACTTACGTTTCTACTTGCCTCAAAAGATTTCATGAAGATATATTTTCTAAGATCACAGCACCTCATGAAAGGAAAAAAATAGTTACATAACAATACAGAGTATACTCACGTGTCCAGCATCCAATAGCTGCGTCTCTGAAAACTTGGGTTTTGCTCACCATGTGCATAATAACAATTTAAAGCCTCAACATTTCCAACCTAATCATGCAAGTAAAATGTCAATAAACAGAACTCCATGGACCTTAAGATAAACACTAAAAGTATGAAATAGAAACACGTTTCACTAATTAAGCTGCTAAACCTATCCAACAGTCATTTCATCTCGTAGGAAACCATTCAGATGCAGTTAGTCCCTATAACTAATTGATGCATCTAATACCTAATACAGTACTATGAATGAGATCAATAATCATATGCTTAAAGAAAATTTCAAGGAAACTTCCGCCACACAAACAAGTGTATAGTGATGTATGTGCAAAAGATTTGAATGCGTCAAAATCGCACCTTGAGCCTTTCATGTGCTTCCCCAACCGTTCTTCCATCCTTCTTTTTACGCCAACTATGACCATCTCTTCTAAAGAACCTCAGAATTCTCTTATTAAATAGAAACAAAGATCCACCTGTTCAACACTTCTACACTGTAAGTAACTAATTAGTAGTAATTTTCAATTATTAGTAGATGCAATAAAAAAAATTAATTACTTACTGGTTGGCTTTTGAGGTGGCTCCTGTGTGAACTGATACTTATCATGATTTTGTAATATAAAAAGCACTTCTGCTGGCTTCAGCCACCGCCTTTGTGCTTCTTCAAACAGACTATTAATGTCATACCCTGATTCCATTCCAATTATAAATCAAAAAACATTGCTCATCATAAGAATATTATCACAGTTATTCATCTTACATCAAAACAAAAAGATAATAAAACTCTTACCTGATTGCAACATACTGGAATTAATTTCTCTTCAAAAAGAAAAAGCTAACTGGAAGAATCGCAGTGAGAGCGCAAAAAAAAAAAAAAAAAAAATCACTTCACTTTGTACTCGATCATGAGACTCTTTAACTTATTGAACTAGAATTCAACTACAACACGAAACGGAAGTCTCAAAACTAGTAAACCGTACTTACGGTCCGGATGTATTAATCCCGGACCGGTTTTTTAAAGCTTAAACTGGAAAACAAAAAAAAAAAAAAAAAGATTAATTAGAGAGGGGTGGAGATTCTGACTAAGCCGTACAGTTTTTGAGGAAAAACTTTTAAAGGATAAATGAATCAAAACACAACAGAGAATGGCAGACGAGAAGACCACGGCAGAGAAAGAAGAAAATTATCTAGCGTTGTCTAGTGATCAACGCTGAGTTTTTCACGAAATAACTAATATGCCCCTAAAGGAGTCAATAACCAGCAATTTGGACCTCAGAGAAACAAGAAATCATTATGAGCTAGCCTGCCAGATAGAGTAATATTCTCGTACTCATAATCTTAATTACTAAGCTACCCCTGTCTTGCCCAGACACAGAGTAGTCAAGCCAAGGTGAGTTTTGCTGTTGACTAGTTCGCGTTTTGTTGTTGACTAGTTCATTCAAGTCTACTCTAAATTTTGAGTCTTGCACCATTGGATCTGTCCTGTACCGGTGCCATCTAACGGTCAGTGTAAATTAAGATAACAGGCTTTGGGATTTTGAGCGAAAAATGTTCATGATTCAAAGGTTGTTTAGGTTAGTTTAGCGTTGCCAATCTACTGGCCATGTTGCTGTCTGTCTCTGCTGGTGGACAAATGTGCTGGGAAATGGTGGGGCCTTGGGTTAGTGCAAATAGACTTTTGACACATGATTTTTAAAGACCTTTGGAACATACGACACGTGATAAAGATGCATTACCAGCTCTTGTCTTGAAGAATATTTAAAGACTTGTGCATCCACATACATGTGGACCATTAAAGATTGAAGTTCAGCAGTTTTAGCTTCTGCGTGGCGGGCGGGATTATCTGAAGTCTCTACAATATCATCATTTTATAAAATTTGAAATAAAATTTATATTTCTTTCGCAATTTGATTATAATCCGAAGCACTGAGCCAATGATAAATGTGTTTATCTGTTTTGCATATGATTTGGATTCGTGTCGTGCTTAAATAATCTCGTATAAGTTTTCAACATTTGATTTGATATAAACATAATAAAACCCATATAAATATATATAGATGGTGAGATGTCATGTTTTTCTTTATCCCGTAAGGGTGGTTTACTGATGTAGAGTTGAACAAGAAACTGTAAAAAAAAAAAATCAAATTTTGTAGTGTAAGAATCAAGAATCCTCTTCTTTTTTTTTCCTGACTAATAGCCAATGTCGCAGATTTTGTTTTAATTAACTAGAATCATGCCAAACTAATTATATATTCACTCGGAGTTTATTTGACATGCATCAAAGGGATATGACCAGGTTTCTTGCCATTAAAAAAAAAAAAAAAAGATTTAATTTGACATGTCTAAAAAAATGATAAATTTAATTGCACTTACACGGCATCGGATGAGTGGGATGTATTTGTCACAGACTCTCGAGTCTGTAACAAGTTGTGGTTCCATGTCAGTTTGTGCAATGTGATGTACGCATGAATTGGGTTAAAGCCAATGATTAGGTACCCCTCATCTTGGGGACAAATGATTTTCCTTACCAGTTACTACGGAGGCGATTCCACGATGTTTCGGTCTTCTAAAACTACAAAGCAATTAAGCTCATCAGGTTGGTGGGACCAATTGAGAAGTTTCCTTGTCTTCCCTTGTTGAAGCCAACCAGATTGCGAGATTTGCATCCAAATCGAAAGTTCCTTTTTCAACAAATTGGTTCATGGATTTTTATATTTAGTTGGCACCAAGATAGTTTTGGAGGATTAAACTTGTTGGTTAGTAAATATGCATATGTATAGTAAAACATGCACCTTTTAGTCCTTCCCTTTTTATTTTGTATTTCATTTCAATCATTTTTTTAGTTGGATGATTACATGGGTCGCATTCACCGGAGTCATGCTCAATAAATCTCGCCCTCGGGCCCATAAAGAAAAAATTTCAACAAATCTCACCCTCCATGCTACAAAGAAAAAATCTCAACTTATTATCTAGAGTTCACACCAATCATATTTGCACACAATGCATTATTCTTTCTCGTTATCAATTTTGACGATATATCAACATGATCTAAATCTTGAAAAATCATTTTTAGTATCATCAACTATTTTTTTATTATCTAAAAAGTTATAGATATCGTCAAAAATTAAATATTGATTTATAACCTTTATTATAAGTCAAAATATTATGAAAGTTATTTAGCTTTTTTCATCAATAAGACATTATTAGAATTAAAATTCTTGATAAAAAAAAATGATACTGACTAGTAAATATATTCATCCAAAGCTCTACGTTTTTAAATATAATATCTTACTTGTCCTACTCAATGATGTTTGTGTTTGTATCCTCATTTTTACTAGTTATTGGCTCAAAATCACTTACATGTTCTTTATTCAACACTCGTCGTGTATGACAAGTTCTTTGGCAAAAGTAATGCAATTTTTATCAATTATTTTTTATTCACTTGAACTTGTAATCTAAACCATTACTTTAGAAAATTATACATATCTAACTACATTCTTTTCAAGTCTAATTAAATGTATTTTTATCTAGTACAATTTATCACAAATATTACCTTTAACAACAATCATTGATTACTTGGTAAGTTTCTATCTTCCATCATCAAAATAATTGTAGTATCCGACAATGTCTAATACATGAGTAAAAATTAGATTCGGACTTAAATTAAATAAATGTAGCACATCTTTTAAAATCGGTGTACATCATTGTTCCTCTTTAGTATGTCAAAATCTATTGCTTTGTACATAATAAATAATTATTTTCTAGAAGTATCATGATATATATTTGTTGAGTCAGCAATTTATTCAATACAAGAATCTATTGCATTACATTTATTCTCTCTACACAAGAGTATTGTCACATCTCAATCTAAATTTAATATTGCAATGGTGTTCTCATTATTTTCAACTTGATTTTTTAAATTTTCTAGATCTATCTTCAAGCCTTACAATTTCTTTTGACATGACCTTCTTTTCTACGGTGATAATATGTAAAACTACCATTAGATTATAATCTACCTCTAGATTTTCTAGAACTTATACTTCATCCACTATCACTTTGCTTCACCTTGTTTTTTTACCGAAGGAGTTATCTTTAACTATAGAAACCGACAAAACATCGTTCATAGTAGAAATACCAAATGTCACAAGCAAAGTCTCACAACTGTCTAGCAAAATCTTCAATAGCAATAATGCTTATAACTCATTATCTAGTACTATTTTAATGGTTATAAATGGATTAACCAAATCTAGGAAGTCACTCAAGTATTCGGTAACAAACTTTTCATCTCTATATTTCAAACTCGCAAGCTTTATAGTGAAATAAACTTTATTCTATACAATCTTCTTTTCACATATATTCTCTATTTTTTAAAAAAGTTCTTGTGCATATGTATCTTTAGATATGTGGTGAAAGACACTATCATCCATTTATTATATGATAACTCCAATGGCTTTCATATGCTCTTTTTTCCAAGCATCACTATTCTTGCCTTCTAGATTGACTTTATCTAATTTAATTGGATCAAACAATTCATGGTAATAAAGTATGTCCTATGTCCTTGACTTTTAAATTGAATAATTTGAAACCGTCAATTTGATTATGGTTTTTGAATTATTTTTCTCCATCAAATTTATATAGATATTCCTATCAAATCTTATATACCATTGTTGAAAATTTAATCTCACTTCGTATAAATTAGATTTTTTGAGAAAATAATCAAACAAAACACACATAATAACCAAGAGTATAAAATAAATCAATTATAAGGGTACAACCACTAAATAACAAATTTACATGAAAAACTCTCTTTACCACGAAGGAAAAAATCATGGGATGAAAAAATCACGGGACCAATTATGAAACAATCTATTGTAATCAAGAAAGCAATACGATCACTAAGTTTCTTTGTGAACTTGAGAATCAAAAATCTATTGGTAGTAATATAAATTACCTTCCTAGGTAAATCCATTTCATATCAAAAACTTAAAATCTGTTAAATCTTTGCATTTCTACAAAATTCAATACTATATAAAATCATTACTTTGAATATTATAATTCTCTGTGATTGTAATATTAAAAAATTAATACTAGAGAACATCTCATTAATTTTTATACGCCAATTTTTTTTTCTATAGAATTCATTGAATAAGAAATATATTTTTTTTCATTTTTCTCCATTTGCTCTTTCTTGACAACTATATATATATGCATGGAAGTCAGCTTCTCAAACAAAACAAGGAAATTTTTTTTATTTTTTCATACTACACATGCACCTTTGTTTTTTTTTTTTCCTTATTTCATTTTACTTCATCACAGAAACTTAGAATATGTTAAATCTTCGTATTTCTACAAAATTCAATACTATATAAAATTATTATTATGAGTACTATAATTCTATGTAATCCTAATGTTAAAAAATTAATACTAGAGAAAACCTCATTAATTTTTATACCCAAAAAAATTGTTTTTTTTTCTATAGAAGTCGTTGAATAAGAAATTTTTTTTGCTCCGATTGCTTTTTCTTGACAACTATAGTAAAAAAAACCAAAGTTATATGTATATATGACTTTGGTCACGGAAGTAGGCTTTCTCAAACAAAACAAGAAAAAAAAACTTTATTTTTTGACACTACACATGCACCTTTGTTTTCGTTTTTTTTTCGTTTATATATATTTCTTATTTAATTTTACTTCAATTATTTTTTCAGTTGGATAATTATATGCCACAGACTACACCGATTACCCAATGCATTTGATATAACAGCTGGCCAATATACATTTATCGGTCAGGAAGGCTGGCAGCCAATCTCATTTCCTGCCAATGGTGGTGGTCGAGTAGGGAATGAGAGGACAAACGGGTCCCCCAGGTGGACGAAAACCACCAGCCTAATTCAATTCTTGAGAAAATTTGATGAATTCAAAGTCCAACTGCTTAATCCGATTTCCCATTTCTGAATCCAACTACTGGAAAAAAACGTACTTGGACATGTGGGTCTTGTTCCCTTGAACACAAAACTTTCCGTATAAGATTACGTATTATTTATTATACATGTGGTTACAAGTTACAACAGTCCTTTAATTTTCTTGGACGTGACACATTCGATATCATGGATCTTTTGTGTATTAAAAAGTGTATAAAATACTCATGATAAAGAAAAAAACGTATAAACCATAAGAAAAGGAAGCTTGATTAGTGAGCAAGTTATCTTATACGAGTTGTCATCTATGGATGATTTTACAACTAATTTCCCTTTAATCCATCAATTTATTTTAGTTTCGATCCAGATTTAGGGGTAAAAAAAAAAAAAAAGGATGGCCACACTCCTTATAAACTTGAACATTATTGAATCAGGAGTTTTATCGATAATAAAATTTATTTGAACGTGTTTTTTTTCTGGACATCATGAATTATGTGCAAATGGTATTAACTTTAGATGACTTGCTCGCTCAAGATTGGTTTGTTAAGAAATTAATTAGTGTGGCTACGTAAAAGTTTATCGAAAACCACTTTGATAATTAAAAAACAATAAAAAAATAAAAATAAAAAATAAAATCCTCGCATTAGGTGTGTTAATAGCAAGTCCTGTTTTTTTTTTTTTTCAAAAGAAAAATATTAGCATAAGCTTTAGTTGTTAGGTGAGACCTCGAGATATGATTTACACTACTTTGTGCTTAATTAATTAGAAGAGAAAGTTAATCGTTTAGTTATCAAAACTCGATATCATATCAAATGATCATCCGACTCAAAAACTTAAGCTATTAGGTAAGTTTGATTTATATTATTATCTAACAATATATACATTATGTGATCAAGTCATCTATAGAAGAATGATACACATGCAGCATTTTTCTTTTATTCTGGAAATTGGTATTAATTATAGTACATTAAGTATTTTTGTTCTTTCTATGATCACATTAATTATCCACAACAATGTCCCTTTTAAAACAAGTAAATTATAATGGCATTCCTTGAAATTCCTAACACTATAAAACGAGGGTAACTATTACAACTTCCAACATAGACAAGAACCTTAATTAAGGACGCGGAAGTAATTCATCTGAATAACAATAAACAGAAAGAAAAAGGAAAAAGTGGTCACATGCAAATAACCACCAGCTAGAGAAATGAAATGGTGGTGGTGGTGGGCAGAGAATCCAAAATGACTTCTTCTACTAAGTTCCGCCCCACACAGCACTCCCTCATTATCTGCTTTTTCATCCATATAAAAACCCTTCTTCAATCCTAAAATTTTCATTATAGCTTTCTTATTCTCACTCTCAACCACAAACTCAATTCTCCACAAAGAAAGGCACAAGGGTCAGATCGCAGGTTGAAAAAAATAACCAAGCAAAATGTCAGACTGGGGCCCAGTTTTTATGGCTGTGGTGCTTTTCATTCTGTTAACTCCAGGGCTACTGTTTCAGTTACCAGGGCGGCATAGGTGCGTTGAGTTTGGAAATTTCCAGACAAGTGGTGCATCCATTATGGTTCATACTCTTCTCTATTTTGCTCTGATTTGCGTTTTCTTGCTGGCTGTTAAGGTTCACTTGTACCTTGGTTAGGGCGTACTACTAAGTAATGCAATGTGACTTGCCTCCAAGTTGAAAAACAAGATCAAGCGTAGTAAAGTCTAGATTTTTAATTTTTTGGGGTTTGCTTTTCTGTCAAATGTAGTCTATTTCATGTATCAAAATATTATCTTTTTTACATTTTAGAGAGGGTTTCAGATTGATTGTTATATATGTAACGTACGGAGCATAGCTCTTGCTTTGTTACTTAAGAATTTGTGATGTGTGACTTCAATTAGTATCTTAATTGTTCTTCAAATAAATAAATATCTTAATTATTTCGTGGTAAATTAATGGGGATGGAATTGCTATAACTCAATTGGCATTGCTTGTGTGGATCAGGATGTTCATAAGACTGATCTTGCAAGAATCTGTAGTTCCAGCTGCCAATGCTATAAGCATAGGCAGAGGAGGCACCAATTTCTAATTTCTTTTTTGATGGCTAGGTTGATCATAACCATGGAAACATTCCCTGGTGAGAATATTGCTCCATTAAAAGCTTTAGCTGCAAGGTCATATCATATTCTTTTATTGGCAACAGATACACCTTATCAAGCCAGAGGACTGGTTCTTGCTGGGCACTTCGCGACCTGCCATTGCTACGTTAACACCCAAATTTCAAGTGGGCGGTTGTGTTGGTAGGAAATCCATTACCTATGCCTGACGTTACTCAGAAAATAGGAAATGAAAAAAAATAGCAACAATAAACCTGTTGAATCTATAAACAAGGGTGAAAATATGGTCTACCTAAAAAAAAAAAAAAAAACATTTTGATGAACGATAGATTTCGAGTCTGCAATGGTAAAATACTATTTGCTGAGTTTGTTGTCTGCTCATTAAAAGTGTTTCTGGTAACAGAAATCAAAGTATTAGGGATGATATATGGGAGGTCTGATTTTTTGAAATTATATAAAGATGGGCTGACAAAGGTGAGGAGTCAGGGTGGCGCTCAAAGTCCGGTGCTCACTTCTCTAACTTTGTAGCAGTAAGAATTATAAAATCAAGCCCAGTTGTGGGAACCAATTCAAGCTTACAATAGAACAAAATATGAGTCGATTGGTGGGCGCTAAAAGTTTTGATCTTTAGTTACCTGACGCAGAGTTCTAGAATTACCACAAACTGCATATGGAAAATAAAATGTTATCCAAAATCTATGGACCACGTCCTCTCTCAGCTTTTTTTCCTTTTTATTCGTGGGGTGGCAATAGGAATGGGCTGATGACGATGCCACTCAAAATTGGTGTAGTTTAAGAAGAAAGCAGCAGTAATCAGCAGAACTAAGGCAGGCTAGAAACAAATAGGATAGAAGTTGGAATTCTATAGGATTTAGGTAGACTTCTAGTTTCTGAAGTTTATTAGTTGAAAATGATAATTAGATAGCTATGAATCTCTTCCGTAGAGACGTGCGATTGTTTCATAGCAATCAAGAAAAATGAATTTGTGGAACTGAAAGTCTTGGCTCTCTCAAGATCTTTAGCTCTGCCATTTTTTTGACTGCTGGTTGTGTCATCCCAATAATCCCATATTTACACCGTTTCAGACCTGCAGTCGTTTCTTTGCCACTTTAATTGGTTTCCAGTTCAATTAAGCCGGGCAGTTAACAAATCAACAAAGTCATGAGAACATCATAACCAATGTGAAATAAGCTTTTTTAATTTCAAATGAGAAGGGACGAGAAAGTTATGGAATTTCATGTACCTTTAATTTTATTTTATTTTCTGGAACAACCCGAAGTTTCCTTTCTCTTTTTATTCTGTTCTTCAATGTTAATGTTGCTAAATCTGGTACCATTAAGTGGAATCAAATCAGGGGATTTTGCTGCTCTCTTAGCCTTTTCCAGCGGAATCAATTTTCTTCATCTTACTTGCCATTGAATGAGAACCTGATACTGGTGATACCTCATCCGTGAATTGTACAGAACTGCCATCTTCATCTTGAGTTTCTTCCCTTTTGGGCTCCTTAAGTTTTTAATCCTTTTTGCAGGCAATGCTACTAACTGGATAATTTATCTCTGTTGCACTTGTATTAAACATGACCACAGAGAACTGATAATCCCCCTCATAAGTATCTAAGAAGTCAAAAGATGACTCAAAATTGCTGATGTGAAAGAGAGAAAGCTTACAGATTTTTTATCTTCAATAGAGTCCTCGGGAATTGTCTTGAAAAAATGGGGTCTTTTCGGCGTAACAATTGAGCAATTGCCAATTCTCTTCCGTTGAGAAGTCATCTTCCAAATACTATCAAAGCCTGCAGTGAAACAATGAACCTTTTTCTTTTATTTGGTTAAATTGAATGATTGAATGGATATCAATGAACAGAAAAAACAGTATAATTCCCAGCAAGAATATAGCAAAATAGAAAAACCAATAGGGATTATAAAATCTAACTACTATGAAGAAAGGCAGTAAATAAGAACTGAAGGAGAGATAAGTAAGGAATAGTATCAAACAAGTCGAGATCATAAAATGAGCGGCAGGAAGCACATATCTCATTGATCTGGTGCTCTCCTTAAAAACACAAGAACTGAAAACAAGCTCCTCCAAAAGAGGAGCTACAAATCCATGAAAACATAACTACCTAAACTTCCTAAAAAGATGCAAGTAAGCTGCCCAAACTATACCAGACGGAAACAAACTTGACTAATTCAAAGACTCAATCAGACTCTAATAGCACCTAAAGACCGGACGCTCTCGGTAACTTCATGGACAAAAAGTACAGCTTAGCCAAGGTTAAACCGGACCAATCTCGCTTCAAAAGACTGAGAACAAGAGAACAAAAGCATGACAACCTAAAACAATAATGAAACTATATAGGATATACTACACGTTATGTGTGATTGTGTTATAATTGAAGGTGTTAGGCAGAGTCCCGTCTTGCCACATTTAGTGAGCGCAGAACAAAGCGATACCAGCGAATCACAGGCGAGTAAAAACTACAAGCAAGAGCAAACTATGAACCAAAGTAACGAAACCTTGGGCCAAAGCAAAGCAAAGTGACAGCAATGAATTCATTTTATTTTATTTTTACCTTGACCAGTTTTCAATGCAGACCCAATGAACAGATTGATTTCACCTACCCAGTACTACTTTACTTGCGTTTCTCTAGAAAGATACTTGAAGTCCAGAATCATTTACCCAGATATCATATTTCATACGACAGGAAATGATTCTGTACTTAATTAAAAGTATGTTGGCCATTATCTCTCAAGCATTCGATGGACATGACACGGCACTGATGCCAGAATGGGATTCGAATAAGATGTGGCGGAGAAACTTTGGAAAAAGCGGCTTGACAGGCTTCTTCTGTGGATCATCGATATGAACAGCGCTTATAAACCAGAAGCTACGGCCTACAGTTTTAGAGAGAGGAGAGCGAGTTGTTTAATCTTGTACTCCTATCCCCAGCAATGGGAAGAGAGAGCCGAAAGATTGTGTTGTGATTTGAGGTGTGAAAGAGGGAGGGAGAAGAGGGAGGGAGAAGAGCCACACGAGTGCATTGTAATTATATTTTTGTGTAGTTCAAGGTTATTTTTAAAATGAATATCATTATAATCTCGTCAGTCTGGGAAAAAAAAAAATTGACTGAAAAACATGTGGGAGAACTTGATCTTATACCAAAAAACATTGCAGACACAATAAAAAAACATAAATATACATTGAAAATTTAATCAATTGAATAAGAATATGTTAAATTTACCCAAGAGAAAGCCATAAAAAACAAAAACTTTCTTGTTGAAGTTTATTTACCCTTCGATTTCACAAAATTAACATTAACATTTTGGGTTGAAATATTACCCTCTCAACGTTTCCTCATTTCTCAAAAATTTTATTAAGCACAAAGGAACTGTAAAATGAAAAATTTTATAATATTGAAATAGTAACTAGCATATATATGCATGTAGTAATTATTTTATAAATTTACTTAAAAAAAAACATATAAAAAAATCACATTAGAAACAACAAAAAAATGATAAAAAAATTTTATTTTTGCTTAAATTTATTTTTATTTTTTTCTCTTTTATTATTATTATTATTTTATCTATTTCTTCCTATAAAATACTCACACTGATTATTTCTTAAATATTATAAAATTTTTCCTTAAAGTAACATTCCAAATTTTATATACCCGATTTCGAAGCGGAAAAAAAATCCGGCTTGAGTTGGTTTGTTTGATTTGAAAATTGGTTTAGAGCTGACAATTCACACCTGGAATTGAGCCCAATGAATGCTTACTGGACCAGGTGTACCATGAATATGGGCTTTGTCGTGCTACAGCCTACAGCCCAACAGAGCGCAAGAAGCTAAACATTGCCCCCAACAAATAAACAAAGAGAGAAAAAGAAAAAAATTGACGATGGAAGCCACTACCACGACTGAGGATGATTTCGTTGTTATAAGCATAACGCGCAGTGTGGAATATTGAAATTGGTAGAACCATTCAAGTCACTGAAGAAAGAAGTTTTCCTTTTAACGAAAAATGGAAAAAAGAAGGGAAAAAAAAAAACTAAATCAACATGCTCAATCAGGCATAAGAGATGATTGGACTAATGATCATATTTACTGAATTGTAGAGTATAATAAGGAGAAGAGGACCCACTGGTATGAAAGTTTTATAGTATTGGTGAGATTGCGATAATGAAATGCAGCTGTGGTTGAGGAGTTCTCTATCTGTTACGCAATTGACAAGGAGTAAAAACTGCTCTATCACTTGTTTTTTCCTTGATTTCATCATTTGTGAATCGAATATTTAGGGCAAGGAAATCCTTTAGCAAATGAGAATGCGAGAACAAAAGCAAAAGTTGAAATAGGAAGTCACGTCTAACAGCTAAAGTATGATGTTATAAAAAGCAAAAGATGCATGATGTTATATTCTGATTAACAAAATATGTCAATTTCACAAGAAGCAGTGACGAAACAGTTAGTAACCCTGCCACGTGCATTTGCTTCAGCATCTATCCAGAGTGTACCGAATGTGACATTCAATTATATTATTTGTTGCTAGAATTAGATTTCTTCTTCTTTACTGATACTCCCTTTCTTTTCTAGCTTTCTTTATTATATTCTTTTGCTTCTTCCTCGTAACAACACCGGTTGGATATCAGTACTAGATCACCCTTGTACATACCTTCGTCCTTCCCTATATTAATAGCGAGTTTGGGATCAGAGCTGTAGTCTGTATTATTTCTAAAAACAAATACCAGGTAACGCCAAAAGAAAAAAAAAAAAAAAGATGGCAGACTGGGGGCCGGTGGTGATAGCAGTGGTGCTGTTTGTGCTGTTAAGTCCAGGATTGCTGTTTCAGTTGCCAGGGAGGACCAGAGTTGTTGAGTTTGGGAACATGCACACAAGTGGGTTATCGATATTGGTCCATACCATCATCTTCTTTGGTCTCATAACCATCTTTCTCATTGCTATTGGTGTTCACATTCACACAGGATAGCCAAGTACAGAAAGAAGGGGTCTCCTTTTCCATTTTTTTTTTTTTAATTAAGTTCACCCCATTTATAGTTTGCCCTGATCTCTTGTATTATCTTGTTTATTTCTTAAGTTTGTTTTGATATTCGCTGCTGCTGTTGTTGTTTATTGCTCTCTGTTTCTTGTATTATGCTCCAGTGAATTGCCAACTAAAAGTTCTGATTCTTGTTCTGCACATCTTTCATCTATTTTCTAGTTGCTTTGAGTCTTTCTTGTTTCTCCTTTTCATTTTTGCCGAAAGAGTTAGGCAACAATGGCATGCCTGAGGTGGTTTCTGAATTTTTTGGTTTTTTAATGGTTGAGTGTGACGATGGAGCTCTCTTCGCTAGACACATGTGGGTAGGATGGCATTAGTACATTGGTCGGTGGCCTCACCTCCTCCCATCCTGAGACACAACAACACGGGCATCTATTTAAAATTGTAAAATAGACCATCTAAAACTAATATTTTTCCTATTTTTTTTTAAAAAAAATTGTAGTAGAAAATCACGTGGATTCTTAATAAAATTTAGACCCAAACTATTTAGACATTCGAGAAAATTTCCTCTGTGTTTCTGGGGATTTTAGATCAAACTGTCCCATGTAGAGAGATTGCAATGTAACGACGATACATCATGAGATTTTAATTAGTTAATTGTCTGGCCAATGCTTACGAGTCATTTTCAGTTCGTTTGCTCCTTTTTTTTTTTGCATAGTTTGAAAAATTACAAATAGGGAAAAGGCTTCCAATTAATGCTATTTAGATGTCTCTTTCAAGATAAAATGTTCATGCTACTGTGCCTAAAATGTTGCTTTCATGGCTCCAACTAAACATCATTATTTGTAACTCTTCATCTTCAACTATTGGTAAACACCCTGGAAAAAGAGAATTGAAAAGCTGGGATTTCTACAATGTCTTCTTTAAAGAGAAAATGTATTATTTTTTTTTTTTTATAAATAAACACTGGACGATTATAGCTGTCAGAGTTGGTCCTTGTTCAGTAATAGGAATACTGGATCGCACAATATATATAGTTAATGAAAATATAGCAACTTGGTAGTATTTCTTTTTGTTACAAAGAAGAGATTAGGAACTCGAGAGTCAGAATTTTTGAACAAAGAAAATACTAATAGTAGATGAGTTATACGAGATTAAAGCAAAGTTATTATCCGCTGGAAATTTAATCTCATTGCCTGTAAATTAAATTTTCATCACAAAATAATTAAACCAACTAGATTTGGTCATAAATAATTAAATCAAACACCCATAATAATCAATAATCAAGAATATAAACTAAATCAATAACAAGAATATAATATTAAAAACACCATTTTTACATGAAAAACTTCTCTATCATAGAAATATAGTTTTATGTGAAAAACTTTTTTTTCTCATAGGAAAAAAAACCAACTCCAATGTTATCATAACCCAAATTTTGGATTATGTCTATTTCTCCAATTTTATTCCTTTTAGATATCTTAAAATTGAACTTTTGGTTAGTCTAAATATCTTAAAATTCACCTTCGTGATTTTTGTTTTTCAATTGGATGATATTCTTTGCTGAATATTGAGTGACAATTTGCAAGTGAAATTGATGAGATTGAAATTTTTTTCCTTCCAGTTTCAATTAATTATCTCAATTTTTACATGAATGATTGTATGCTTGTATATAGGTTATGGTTCAATCTTTTAATTTTGTGAATTAATTTCAGATTTATTTAGCATTAAATATTACTTGATAATCATTAGTTTAATTAGAAAATTAATAGATGGGTGAATTATAGAGCCTCTTAATTTTTAAAAACTAATGATGATTCTCTACCGGCCTTAGAAAATATAAAAAAGAAAAAGAAAAAAATGATAAAAAAAAGAGATTAAAAGAAAAGAACAAAAAAAGGAAAAGAATAAAAAAAAGAAGAGAAATGTTAGGTGAAAATTAACAAGTCTCATATCTAATAGAGATTGATATTAATTCAAACCAATCATATTTTAGCAATTAAGTAGTTATACGACATACCGGTTATGTCAAGACTTAAAATGGATTCAATGTTGAATTGACGAGACTCCGACGATGAGGTCCGACCCAACGATCGATTCATTATAATACCACAAGTAAAAAAAAAAAAAGCTTAGATAATAAACTTGAAAGTTGACTTAGGAATAATTTTGGCAAATGATAGAAAATTTTAGGATTAAACCGGACATGATATTTTTTATAAAAAATGATATTTTTGGATAATTGATATCTTCTCAAAACATAATAACTCTTTATCTTAGAATTGTGTCTATTTTTTATTTTTTATTACCTTTAATATCAGTTGGGGACTTTGAAATTAATAATAGCTCATGTTCCCAAACAAACAAAATTTTCAATCAATAATCATAATATTTGAAAGTCTCATTGAACATCATATAGCGACATAAATAATCAATTATAATAATAATTAAAAAAAAACAATCACTCAAGTTGTTTTTTTTTTTTTTTGAACTTGAAAAACACAGCAAGAAAACTTTATTGTTATGTGTATAAAAAGTCATTGTTTTATTGTTATAGAATTCCTCAAAAGAATAAGAAAATTTCTTCTTCTTTTTTCCCCTTAAAGACTGTGTACAAAAATAAGACATATTATTTTTCCAATTGTTCTTTCTTAAATATTGGGCACAAAAAAAAATACAAATTATTTTTTTTTTATATGCATGCCTCGGCTACACAGAAAAACAAAACAAGAAAAAAAAAATTAGAGTTTCAACACGCTACTTTTCATATTTAATTTCTTTTCCATTTTATTTTTTTATATAAATTTTTTGTTTTTGTTTTTGTTTTTTTTTTTGTTTTTTTTGTTTTTTTTTTTGTTTTTTTTGAGTTATGGCAAGATAACTTGTGAATTAAATCTTAAGCATATATCAAGACTGCCTTCCGCGAAAGTCCTAAAATGGACCGTTGACCCAGGATAAAATTGGATCTCACCGTTCATATGACAAGTTATGCACACTTGTGCCCCTTCTTCTGCACAAAGAGACAAAAACCGTTACCAGAACTTATATGAGAAGTTTGTCTTAATCTTTTGGCTATAATACTCCGCAGTAAATGGCCTTGGAATCGTCAGAAGTTTGAAGTTTCGAAGAATCTCAGTCTACTCATAAAAGATAAGAAAAACAGTGGGGGAGAACTCCATCAGATTTAATCCAACTAACAGTAGGATAAGGAACAACTCTGTTCAAATCAGATAAAAGAAAAAGACAACTGTGATCAATCTCTTAGCCAGTATTATTTATTATTTCTGCAGAAGGTTCCATTCCATGCTTTTATCTGACTTTTAACGCGTGACCATGCTCTGGTCCAATTGGCCAGACCACGCCGCCGGCTTCATCCCTGTTCCTAAGGGCACAGGCCAGAGGCAATTAGGCACTGCCGACCTTATCCCTTTGGATTTCTCTCTTCCATCAAGCAGGCTAATGCTTTTATAGCTGTTTGCCTGTTTCTGTCTTCTGAGAAATGAAGCAATAAATACTGCTATTAGCTCTGAAATGTGATTTGCTGTAAGTTCTCCCAATTACAACATACTTTGTGACCTTCGATTTTGCAATGGTGATTGACATAACTTACACCCTATCGGCAGCCACACTTCCATTTTCAATTTAGCATCAAGATGCGTGTATATAACTAAACTATAGCGGATATTGCAGCAATAAAAATTTCATCAAACAATGAAAAAAATGAAAAATGAAAACTCTCGTGTTAAATCCTAAGTTTATGTCCATGTTATAGATTCAAACAAGAAAAAACCTGATTCAGTATCTCAATCATCTCTCGTTCCTCATTAGAATTAAATAGAGCAACAAGAAAAGGATACAGGTGAAATAAGGTAATACCGTAATGCTGACATATTGCTGGACAAATAGAATTGAATATCAGAGAGAACCTGGGAACAACTCTCCCATTTCTTCCCACGAGTAAGAATTCATTACACACTAGTTCTTAAAACCTTCAATATTCATCATCTCTACTTGATAATAGAAGCCATATCCACAAGTTTAAGCCACCAGGAAAAACAGTTATCAACAATTCCTGCATGAATTCTTGAAAAAGCTGGGAAATTTCATATATATTCCCCTGTTATGTCTCTAGTGGCAGCACCAGTCACTAGAACATTAGTGTTGCTCAATGCTTCCGTACACGGTTCAACTCTCTGAACCACCTTGCATTCACAAAAGTTTCCATGCTGCAGTCACCGAAAAAAAAAAAAAGGAAAAAGGAAAAAGAATTAATCAACAAACCAACACACACACACACACACACACACACACAAAAACACATATATCTATGCACTCAAAAAGAAAGAATAATAAAGCACGTAAACAAAGGTAGAGAGAAATGACTCGATAAAAGACATGGCTATGTATCATCTTCCCATAAATTAACACTTCCTATAGTTCTATGTTATAAAAAGCAAGAATGACTGATGCCCTTAAAATACTTGTCAATGTGTAATTGTTCCTAGCAATTCTGAATTTTCCTGGATTTAATCTGCATCTTAGAACATTTATCTTGCATTATATATATTGTCATGCAGTATGAATGTGCGAACAAATCAAGTGCAACATCATCCAAGCACATCTCAGTTAAACTTTAATGTAGATAAAGCTCAAACTAAAAGTCAAATTTAACTAGCCTTGTTCAAAAATTTTACAAGCCAGGTGTAACATAAGCTTCAATTTACTTGTCAAAATAGCAATCAAAACAGTCATATCCTAAAAAACTCCACCAATTACAGATTTGGAAGTGCCTTAAAGACAGATTTTCACATCTTCACTCCCTTCAACTACAAATAAACCAATGTCTTCTGGTTGCAGAATTAGACAAATAGGATTGCAAATTCTTCAACAACTTGAAATTTGGAACTCAAACAATATGAAATACATGAAACAGCAAAAAGGTCGGCAATAGGATTATTTAGAGTCTCTTCACATTTAGAAGATCCGAATTATATTTCCAAGATGAGATTCAAGCAACAAGCAAAAAAAAAAAAAAAAACATATTTATGAGTTGACAGAAAATTATGATTTGTGGAGTATGCAAACAAAAATTTACATAAAACAAAATTCACTCTTTGCCACCATGACCACATCCCAAAATACCAATCACCCTAAATGAACTGAAACCCTACATGTAATACTGAGTTAAACCCCTCCCCTGTATAGTATATATTGTTCAGTATCTAATCAACATTCCAATGTTGAGTTCCAAATCACCGCAACGTATTAAATGGAACATTGCAAGGCAGGCAACAAAAAAGTAGGTTTACCAGAATGGCAAGATAAATGGGATGCAATGTTGCATAAAACAACAAAATAATGTGTTTTAAAGAATCAGCTCCAGAAATCCTGCCGATTTAGCTCCAGTCTTGTGGGATATGATACAACAGAAAGAGCGGGGGAACTGACTGGATTGACGAAAACATCTTTCATCCAACATGGTTTCCAAAATCCCAAAAGAGAACAAGTATCGAAGGATCTGAAGCTAAAAAATAATTACGGATAATTCGACCTTATTGATTAAAATGAAGCCAAAAAAAGCACAGGAGTTTTCTTTTTTTCAAAAAGTCTCCTCTTCAGTTTGATTAGATAATAATAATTACCCATATAGAAATAATAATCTGCAAACGATGGCACATCCCTGTTCAATTAATCAATCTTCATGATTGCCAGAAACCTCCCAACTTTCACCAACCAAACACATACTCAAATCCAAAATAACAAACCACGGCTGCATGAATAGTATAGATGAATATGCTAAGCACCTTTTTTCTTCACCAATTACAGCCTTACAGCAGAATACAAACAGGGACAAAAAAGAGAAATAGCACAATATCCAAATAAACCAGCAACGATTCCTCAAAAAATTTCATAAAATCAGACAAAAACAACAAACACAAAAATCATGACAATAACAGACCAAACAGAACAAAACAGCGAATTCTTGATTAATTACCAGGAATCTCCTTTCGAGGAGAAGAAGGAGGAGCCGTGACGTAACAAAGAAGATAGCGTCCCAGCATGGAGATAGTAGAGACAATCCCAGCAACATAAAACACCATAACCAATCCAAGAACCCAAGGCATCAACAAGAACCCAATAAAAAACGTAACCGATCCACATAACATCAAAGTCAACGATATTCCCAACAGCAACGACGCAAATCCTGCTGGCGTTATCTCCGGCAACCTCCTCCTCACCGACGTGGAGGCGATGGGAAACTGATCGGAAAACGAGATCGGCGTAGGTGGTGAACGGAGGAGATTGAATACTAACGCTGATAGCTCGTCGAATACACTGGATTGTTGATCTTGATTTTGCCTTCGCATCATTTTTCCAATATCTTGAATTTTTCTGTTTTGTTTCAAAGAATAATAATAGAAATCTTAAATCTTGAAAAGTGGACAAACTGGCTAATCGTGTCTTCAGACGTTGGAAGTTAAGAAATTTTAATAGGGATTGGCGTGAGTTTGGGTTTTTGCTAAAATCGAGGCAAGTGGATAAACACAGAAACTTGTATCTACTCTACTGATTGGAGAAAAGCTTAACAGAGAATTTTCAAATTTTTGTTTTTTGTTTGTTTTTATTTTTTATTTTTTATTTCTCTAACAGCTGAGGGTGAGTTATGATAGGCAAAGATTTGTTTGTTTTTCGGGAAACTCTTACAAGAATGTGAATAGAGAAAATGTGTTGGACGCGGCGATGTCCTATTAATAGAGTATTTGGATTGTTAATTTTTGTTTTTTTGAAAATTTTCAGTGCAGAGATTTGGATTGAGAGAAAATTTAGAGGCTGGGTAGGTGTAGCATGGATACGTGTATTTTTTATCTTTTGTTCCTTGTGGATTGGGTTGCTTTTATCTAGAAGGAATTGTTGCTTTATTCAGTTGTTTTTTCTTAATAAATTCCAATCTTTCTTCTTCGTCTTCTTTTCCTTTTTTGTTTTTTTGGGTAATCCTCAGTCTTCCAATTTTATCTCAATCTCGAATCAGTCTTCAAAGTTTCTAATCTTATAGGTCGGCCTCGTAGCTTGTGATGGAGAGGTAAGCGTGTGAATTGCGGTACCTGACTGTTTAATTTCAACGTTTCGAAACCTAAATTAACTTCTTCTTCTTCTTCTTCTTCTTTTTTCCAATGAAACTTAAATTAACTTGAAAACTTATCATTTTTGGTCACATGACAATCGTATTTTTTATTTTTATAATCCAAAATTCCTATTCAAAGGTGTGTTGATAATTGATGAAATTTGATAGAACAAATCTGTCACGTTATTACAAGTGAATTAATTGTCATGTATGGCATAATCTAGTCCTATTTACCAAATGTTATCAAATATACCATCAACATTAAATAGTTATATTTTTAATTTACAATAAGATAACCAAATTATAGTATACAACGGTGCATCCTCTAAGAAAATCATTCAACTTGGGAAAAAATCAAGTGAAATGAATTTTATTTTATTAGTCAAAATAATTTAATATTTAATTTATAGCTTAGTTGAAAATTATCATACGAGTTGGCTAAAAAAACCCATGAACTATCAATAATCTCGAAATGTAATAAAAAAAAATCTTTATATTACATTATAAATGAGAAAATTGAAACTAAATATTTGATTGAAATTTTTTTACATGTTTTCCTCGATGAAATTTTGTTTGTCCTCTACCTTTTTATTATATTATTATTATTATTATTTAACTATCTTCCACCTCTCTTTATATATATATATATATATATATATATATATATATATATATATAATAACAAACGAATTTTTAAGATCTCATATTTTATTTTATTTTTCATAACTCTTACATTTTCAATCAAATACTCATAATTAAATATATAATTAAATTTCTCTTCTTGACCTTAATCATATCCATAATTTCATATGTTTTCGATCAAGATATAATCCTTTCGTGTCAATGATTTATGTGGTGAAACAACTCTATATAATAATTTATCCCTACGGACAAATTAAAATTTATACAAGACATTTTACTATTATAGGATAGGCAATTGAAATTAATGGGAATAAGTGCCATTATATATATAAGTTGTCATTCTTGTAAATTTTTATTCATATAAATAAAAGTAGAACTTATATAAAAAAAAGAAAAAAAAATTTGCTGCGAGCATGTATATAAGTGAGGAGATACCACATACGCATCGTATGGGGTAACAAAATTTCTTGATAGTCGAATTGCAAGATTTTAAGACCTTAGAGACTTACTTGAAATCATATTAGATGATGAAGGACTGTTTCATAAGTAATCCTTTTATTCATTCGAAGATGACATGAGAGTGACAGGGCTGCGCGTTCGTGAAGCGGGTGTGTGGCACGCTCTGTGGATTGGATTGGAATGGGCACAACTTACGTGGGATCGGATGACGTGGGACCTTATCTCGAGAGGTTCTGGACGACCTCATTTTATTATGGTGCCCAAGATTTCGGGATTTGCTTTCAGTTAATTATGCAGAGGTGAGGATAAGTACGTGCGGGGCACAGAAATAACTAATACTCAAAAGTATTTTATACATTACAACTGATCAAACCTCGATAACAGATATCTATTTTTCATCGTTATTTTATTCAGTCGATAGTAGTCGATGCATAATCTCAAATATCTATCTTTTTTCTTGGTAAACAAAATTGAAACATAGCATAGATAAATATTTGATATAATAAATCTTTTATCCAATAAGTCTTGAAGTTGAATCTTCAACTCCTTCAATTCGAGCGGTGACATCGATAGAAAGGTATAAAGATAGATTCAATGCTAAAAAACAATTCAATATTGAATTCATTTCTCTATATGGGGGTAAACTAGATAATTCACCCAAAAATACGTCGAGAAACTCCATAACAATTGAGACTTGATACAAGCCGATCACATTATCGTATGTCTCCATCATATATGCCAAATAGGCTACACATCCTTTTCTCATCATTTTTATTTGCCTTAATAATAGATACTTAGATAAGAAGGTGCTACACTTTCTTCTTCTTGAAAAAGATCTACCTTCTCCTAAATCTCCAAAATACACTATCTTATTATAGTAGTCTCGCAAAGCATGATAATTCGCTAATCAATCCATTCTAAGAATTACATCAAAATCATTCATCTTCAACAATATTAAATCTATAATTAGATTTCTACTCATTACTTATATATCACAGTTTTTAAACACCGAATCGATCTATCATGCTTTCTCTTATTGGTATTGATACCATCAATGACTCGCTCTAACATACATGGACTCGTATTGAACTTCTTAGCAAAATATAAGGACACAAAAGATAGGTTGCCCTTAAGTCAAATAGTACCACTTGCATCATATGAAAAGACTTAGAGGATACCTAATACAACGACATTGGATGCTTGAGCATCCTATCGGGTGATGGCAAAAACCCAAACTCGGTCACCATTAATACTTGTCCGACCCCGACCTCCGGAGCTTTCATGACCTCTACCGAACTTGTCCTCGACCTTGCTAAGCTCTACCCTCCAAACCCTCAATCAAACTAGCCATCAAATCTACCATTATATTAACTTAGGGATAGGTTGGCCATATGAGGAGCTTGTACCCTTCTCTAAGTAAGTGGCTTGTACCATTTTGTATCTAGGGTAGTCCGATATCAAATGACCCTATTGATGGCAAAAAGAAAAGCTCCTATCCCCCTAAAGCATATACCTAGATGGGTTTTGTCACACCCTCGACAAATCAAATATCCTCTTTCGTAACCCCGATGACTAAGTGAGATGACCTTTGACTCATACTCATTCATTATTCACTATGACTACTTTGTTTATAATATCTTCTTCGAGGGTTAGAATAATTTAGCATTCGACATCTTGATTAGATCCACTACTACGATCTTTATGCCCACCGGATGATGAGGCATCACTCTTGGCCTTCCTTTTTACTCCTTAGTTTCCCTACTCTTCATTCTCCTCATCTCAAGCTTACATGCACAATCAATGACCTCTAAATAACTCTAAAATCTTTAAAGAAATACCATCATAAAGTATGAATCGAGTACTTGTCCGACCTTGACCTCCGTAGCTTTCATGACCTCTACCAGCTTGTCCTCGACCTTGCTAAGCTCTACCCGCCAACCCTCAATCAAACCGACCATCAAATCTACCATTATATTAACTTAGGGATAGGTTGGCCATATGAGGAGCTTGTACCCTTCTCTAAGTAGTGGCTTGTACCATTTTGTATCTAGGGTAGTCCCATATCAAATGACCCTATTGATGGTAAAAAAAAAAGCTCCTATCCCCCTAAAGCATATACCTAGATGGGTTTTGTCACACCCTTGACAAATCAAATATCCTCTTTTAGAACCCCGATAGACTAAGTGAGATGACCTTTGACTCATACTCATTCATTATTCACTATGACTACTTTGTTTATAATATCTTCTTCGAGGGTTAGAATAATTTAGCATTCGACATCTTGATTAGATCCACTACTACGATCTTTATGCCCACCGGATGATGAGGCATCACTCTTGGCCTTCCTTTTTACTCCTTAGTTTCCCTACTCTTCATTCTCCTCATCTCAAGCTTACATGCACAATCAATGACCTCTAAATAACTCTAAAATCTTTAAAGAAATACCATCATAAAGTATGAATCGAGTACTTGTTTGACCCCGACCTCCGGAGCTTTCATGACCTCTACCAGACTTGTCCTCGACCTTGCTAAGCTCTACCCGCCAAACCCTCAATCAAACTAGCCATCAAATCTACCATTATATTAACTTAGGGATAGGTTGGCCATATGAGGAGCTTGTACCCTTCTCTAAGTAGTGGCTTGTACCATTTTGTATCTAGGGTAGTCCCATATCAAATGACCCTATTGATGGCAAAAAAAAAAGCTCCTATCCCCCTAAAGCATATACCTAGATGGGTTTTGTCACACCCTTGATAAATCAAATATCCTCTTTCGTAACCCCGATAGACTAAGTGAGATGACCTTTGACTCATACTCATTCATTATTCACTATGACTACTTTGTTTATAATATCTTCTTCGAGGGTTAGAATAATTTAGCATTCGACATCTTGATTAGATCCACTACTACGATCTTTATGCCCACCGGATGATGAGGCATCACTCTTGGCCTTCCTTTTTACTCCTTAGTTTCCCTACTCTTCATTCTCCTCATCTCAAGCTTACATGCACAATCAATGACCTCTAAATAACTCTAAAATCTTTAAAGAAATACCATCATAAAGTATGAATCGAGTACTTGTTTGACCACGACCTCCGGAGCTTTCATGACCTCTACCGACTTGTCCTCGACCTTGCTAAGCTCTAC